CACAACCGTGGAGGCACCAAAGGGCAGCTCAGCGGCAGGTGATGATGCTGCACCGTCCTCTGCTGACCCTAGCACCCCACAGCTCCGAGGCCACCCATGGCAACCCAGCGGGCACGGTGGTCACCCATGCAGCCACCATCCAGGCTCGACCCTGCTTCGCTTCCCCGACGTGACGAGGTCGCGCGTGAACTCCGGGAATTTGGCCATGCCCACCCGAGAGGGCATTTCCACAATTGAGCAAACCCGACACAGTCCACGTAGCAAGCACATGCTCGTCGCACATACTGGGGGTGCCGTTTTCAATGTTAATACCGATCGTTTCAAAACATATTGGTCATTGGAACCTCATTTGCCAGTAAAATATATGAGAATTGTTTTTTACCCTTTTATCTGGCAACAAAACCGACACCTTTTTTTACGAGGAGTCATGTTTGCATAGACCACAATACCTGCAGTCATAATGCAAACAAAAAACACAACTATGATAATGTATATGCACTGCCCTTGAAGTTGATTGGTCCACGCCCGAGACAGCTTTCCTTAGAGCCTAGTCTCACATGGTGTTGGACCAGATGACGTCAAAAGGCGTCATCTGACTGCAGGTATTGTGGTCTATGCAAACATGACTCCTCGTAAAAAAGGTGTCAGTTTTGTTGCCAGATAAAAGGGTAAAAACCCAATTATCAACATATGGGTCATTTATGGAATAGGTCAACGGTTTGACACGCACGCGAACTTGGATGTACCATCACGTCCCGCCGTGGATGAAAGTTCGCTTTGTCTCAGTCCAGTCCAACACCACAGTAGCGAACTTTAACATCTCTCCCGTATCAAACCAAGCGGACAAATTGTTTCTCTCCAAATAACAAGGCGTCAGTGATTGGTTTGACACACTATACCCATTGGCAAACAGCCCCTCATTGATTACACGAATAATCACCCACATCTTTCAAAGTTATTGACTGAAATCATCATCAGCTCTGGTCAATCCACTGCTGAATAAAAATGTAATAATCCACCTGGCACCTACAACCGAGCTGATTTCATCACTCCACCTCCATTGGGTGGTAGAATTCCATCCCTTGCCTGCCGCTCCGTCCCTATTCTTGACCCACTGGCCATCACCAAGCCTCTCTAGCTGCGTGTCCCAGCCCCAAGCCCGCTTCTCCGTCATCGCAGAACCGGCAAAACAACCCTCTTGGTACACTGAAACACCGAGACATCTGGGACGAAGCCAGTCTCTTCGTCAGGCAGGGTCACACTCGAAAAACACAACGCCACGGCTTGGCCATTTTGGGGCCATTTCTCTTCCTCCCTCTCGCGTATCTTGGGAGACATTTGGCGAGAGCTGCGACGTAGCAGGCTGAGCGTGAACACTTTCACGAGACGGAGTAAAACACGTGTGCGTGGTGAAATCACTCTCACCTTCAAATCGCGCTTGGCAAGTGTCTCGAAACTGGAGCAGACTGGGGGGGACGGGACGGCAGCGGCAGGAGGAGGTCGGTGATGTTCAGCGGCCGCTTGTAACGAAGCAGCGTCCAGAGCAAGGAGCGGATGCGGACAGGAGCTCGCAGACGAAGTGAGGAAGCCGAGAGAGTTCCGGAGGCGAGGCTCGTCTTTCCCATTGGCCTGGGAGGAGGCACGTCACACACTCAGGGGGTAGAAACACCGACTTCTGCCTGACTCTGGGTTGCCTCTGCCGCTGCTGCTGCTGCTGACGCACGGTCATGCGCCTTCGTGATTGTGCCGCTGACGTCTTGGAGATCGCGATTGCAGCAATGCACTTGTGGGCAGCTATTCATTTGTTAAACATACTTCACCACGCTGGTCATTGTGGAGATACGTCTACTACTACACTCGCACTCTTAGGTTTTTCGGTAGTCACGTAGGTAAAAAATAAACATTATTATATTTTATTTCTATTATTATTTTTTACCTACGTGACTTTACCGAAAAACCTAAGAGTATGAATCCTTGCAGTCACGAAAGCTTCAGATCTAGAATTACTACACCCGTCTTCAGCGCATGCTGCTGCTCACCCATCCAAGCACTGGCCAGGCTCGTCACTGCTTAGCTTCCGAGATCGGGCACATTCCAGGGGGGTTGATAGCTCTACTAAGTAAAGTTTACATCGCAACGCGTGAACTAAACTCTTTTCTTAAGAGTCACATTTTTAGAACGGCTCGCTGCATTGGCAGGAGTTGGGCAATTCATGATCATCTATCCATTGTTGAAGTCCCCTCCCCATGCCAACACTCCGCGTCCTCCAATGCCACAATCCATCTCGCTCAAGAGCATCATCATCATCATCGTGAGTTGTTGTCTTTGCAATACAGGTTTTTTTGGGGGGGTTAGATCGCGTAAATATGAATGTCATTAAACAAATCTTGTGGATTTGCTCTCCAACACACCGGTGTGCTGTACTAATAACGAATTAGCATTTTCTGTTTACGTGACAAACCTTACTAATTGGCTGTCGGGTGGTGGCGGGTTTAACCATACATTTACACAATCTAACCCAAAAAACCCCAAACCTCTTATGGATGATATTGGTCGCAAAAGCCTACGTGTTAAACCAGCGGTCGGGAACCTATGGCTCGCGAGCCATATATGGCTCTTCTGGTGACGGCATATGGCTCCCAGACAAATTTGAGTTGAAAAAAAAATAAAAAAAATCAGTTTGGAACTGATTTTAAAATACATGTGATATTGCTTAATAATACTGTGTCATTTTAAAGTAAACAGAAATTTGTTTTGAAGATAAATTTCACAGGGTCACGCCTGCACGAAGCTCAACCTCACCACGTACGAACCAGACTACAAGGCCATCAGCAAAACCACGCAGCACCAGAAGTTGCATTAAAAGTAAGACATATTTAATTTATTATACGTTAAAATACTATATGGCTCTCAATGCAATATATTTAGAAATATTTGGCTTTTATGGCTCTCCCAGTCAAAAAGGTTCCCGACCCCTGTGTTAAACTGTCTTCCCAATGCTGGATGAAGGCATCTCACCGACATCATGATAAACCAATTCTATCCATTGCTGAATGAAGGCACCCTCATGAACATCATCTTATCCACACGAGATGATAGCCTATCCACACACTCAGGAAACACTATCAACTGCTGGATGAAGTCACCTCCAACATGCCATGCCTCATCGTCCTGCTATGCCACAATCCATCTCGCTGCTGCACATGAGCTGATCTCGTAGTTCCATCTGCGGTGGTCGTCCTCTTGGGCAGATTCCCACCCTTGGCTGCCATTCCGTCACCAGTCTCGTCCATTGCCCTGATAGCCATGACGTGCCCTGCCCAAGTTCACGACTCCCAAGTCAACACGTCCAATGAGATGGTCCCCCCTGACCCGAGCATGCACCTCTCCATGTCTTTCCACCACACGAGGCTCTGTCGTGACGTGCCCGCACACACGCAGTCATGAACGCGGTGGTGAGGGTGTTCTTACGTGTGTGCTATTTGATTAATTTGATCAATTTCACGTTGAAAACGAAACAAAATCTGTTTTGGGGGCCACGTATTGTTGAAACGCTGGACTTGCAGATCTCCCAGCGCGGCACATTAAAACGATAACGTGTCCCGAATCCCGTCATGTGCCCACCCATCATCAGCTGTATACACGTGTGCGACAGTGAGCTGATCGGCAGGTGGCTTGTCAGAATATTGATTTATGTTGGAGGAATCCGATGAGCTTTAAATAGATTTTTGCACAGATGTCCAGCAGTTCCACTAATGTCCAGTAGATTGAGTGAAGAGTGGCTACTCCCACCTCTTCTTCCAAGGGGCTCTCACCAATATATGGAGGGCATCTTCAATTGTTCAGCAAACTTGTGGTACCCATAATCCAGGTTTTTTTTTTAGTCAGATCGCGTAAATACGTGTTACAGAAACTTGTGGTGCATTACCTGTTTTGCTCAAATGTATCTTTAGCCCAAGTTTGCGACCTAAAGTTATTCAATCATGGCCCTGGAGTTAATTTCTACAGATTGTAAATAATAACCGTCATCAGCTCATCCGATGAGGTGGTTGATATTCTCTACATCGACCTTGACGTCTTTGTTTCCCCAATGCCAAAGTTCGATTGGATGACGTTGGTGAGAACCGCGTCAACGTCTATAGACGTGTTACACACACAGCGTGTGGCCTCGTCTCCCTGCCACTGCAGTCTATTCTGCCCCTTGGAATGTTTGCAGCTTTGGGAATTTCAGCACTCATTCAGCATGAAAGGGGAGAAACCATGCAGCACGGTTTTTTCAAATTTCAGGTATGCATTTTCTTGTTCATGTGGTAAGAAATCCCTGCTGGAGCGGGGTTATATTCCTGTGTTACCTGCGGCCAGTCGTGCGTCAGTTGAATGTTGTTTTCCCTGAATGCTACTCAGCGTCTGCAACGTTATGCTTATTACGTTGTAACTTTCTTTCTTTTTGACACCAACGAACTCAGCGGGTCATTCTTGGGAAACTACTTTCATGTGCAATGTTTCTTACCCGGGTGTCAACAAATATAATCAGTCGACGAACCTCCTCCACCGAGACTGGGCACAACCAGACAGAGCCATCTTGCCGCGCTGGGGTGGAGGCGACGGCCGTTGACGCGCGCCACGAGGTGGGTGGAGAAATTTAAACCGGTGGCCGAGTTCCGCCTGCTGATTGGCTGTTGGGTTGACGGGGGCGATGTGGATTGGCTGGTGGGTGAGAAGGGTGGGTGGGGGTCGAGGCAGCTCGCGCCCGCGTCGCGCGCCCCCGGGCGGAACTACGTATCTGGGGCGCGTGGGTGGGGGGGAGGGGGTTACGGGGAGGAGGCGGGGTTTATATCCACATCACTTGCTGATTGGTCGGCTAAATCCCCGGGTGGGCGTGAACCACGGTTCTCGCGAATTGTCTTCAGCGGAGTGGCCGCGGGAGATGGGCGCGCTGCCCTGTTGCTGCTGATTGGCTACTACGTGAAAATAAAGGCGGGTCCCCGCCCCCGGAGGGCGTGGCTTGCAGCAGCAGCAGGAGGGGGCGTGGTCACGCGGCGCCCCTCCCTCTCTCCCCTCGCGAGTCTCGAGGCGGAGGCCGAGGCGCGCGGCTGCCATGGGCGTTCAAGTGGAGACCATCACCCCTGGCGACGGTCAGCGACAGGCATTTTATAAAGATTTCACCTCGGATTTATAAACAATCACGGTGGGCGAGCTTTGATTTTGGCGGTGGTGTTGTGTGGTGCAATGACGATGGTTGTTGTCGGTGTGCGCCCACAGGCCAGACGTTTCCCAAGAAAGGGCAGACCGTGGTGGTGCACTATACGGGTGAGCGGCTCGGGTTCCATTGCGGTTTATCTTGCGGAGTTTTAGCGCCGTCGGTATAATTGTAACATGCGCATTCAAAGACTCGCTTTGCGTTCGGCGATAATGGCGGTGTTATCGTTTTCGTGGCGTAGCGAATGTGCCGTTGATTTGTGCGGATATACTGGCGGCTAGTCGGGCCGTGTGATGGTGGTGGTGATGATGGTGGTGGTGGTGATGATGGTGGTGGGCGTGATGGTGGTGGTGGTAGTGATGGTGGTGATGATGATAATGATGGTGGTGGTGGTGATGATGGTGGGCGTGATGGTGGTGGTGGTAGTGATGGTGGTGATGATGATGGTGGTGGTAGTGATGGTGGTGGTGATGATGGTGGTGGTAGTGATGGTGGTGGTGATGATGGTGGTGGGCGTGATGGTGGTGGTAGTGATGGTGGTGGTGATGGTGATGATGGTGGTGGGCGTGATGGTGGTGATGGTGGTGGTAGTGATGGTGGTGGTGATGATGGTGGTGGGCGTGATGGTGGTGGTAGTGATGGTGGTGGTGATGGTGATGATGGTGGTGGGCGTGATGGTGGTGGTAGTGATGGTGGTGGGCGTGATGGTGGTAGTGATGGTGGTGGGCGTGATGGTAGTAATGGTGGTAGTGATGGTGGTGGGCGTGATGGTGGTAGTGATGGTGGTGGTGGTAGTGATGGTGGTGATGGTGGTGGTGGTGGTGATGATGATGGTGGTGGGCGTGAGGAGCGGGGCGCGGTGCCTCCCCGATTAAAATGGAGCGGAGCCGCGCCTCGTGGGCTCGGGCGCGGCGGCGGCGGCCGTGTTCGTGGCTGCGTTGAGGACGCCTGCGGTGGGGAGTGGTAACGATGGCGGTGGTGAGGGTGGTGGTGGTTGTTTTGGTGGTGACGGTGATCGTGATGGCGGCGGTAGTGGTTACGATAGTTGTCGTGAATGGCGGTGTTTATGGTAGTGCTGTGATGATGTCGATGCTGGTGGCCATGGTGGTAACCGTGGTGGTGATTGTGCCGTTGCTGATCACGATTCATCGGTTGCCTTGAAGTCCCCAACGCCCGACTGGCGACTTCGCGTGACTTCTGCTTTCGCTGCTGCTTTCACGACGCTCGCACCCATTAAATGGACCTATAGCGGTGAAGGGGTATAGGGAATTGTTTCCCGATACATCAACGTGTGCTCCGCAAACCATTCCACCATCTCGCCGACCATCAACCCCCGTCTGCTTCACGACCAAGAGGCTTTCGCAGCAGCTGCTGCCCCTCCCCCACCCTGAGCGGTTGGGTGGGCCTGCAGGGTGGGCAGGCAGTGAGGGCAGGCAGGGCGAGCAGGGTGGGCAGGGTGGGCAGGCAGTGAGGGCAGGCAGGGCATGCAGGGTGGGCAGGCAGGGCATGGTGGGCAGGGCAGGTGTCGGCAGGGCCACGGGGAAGGGAGGGGGAGGGCGGTCGTTGCGTGGTTGCGCACAGACCGACATGGCCGCATTGCAGGCAGCATCCGCCCACCAAGCCTTGGGAGGTGGGGGCGGTGATGGGAGGGATGGTGGATATGTGATGTAGAATGGGGGGTAGAATCGTGGTGGTGGTTAGAACTCTAGTGGATGTTGCGCCTGGCTGCAGCGCGCAGCACTGAGTAACGCACGTTCATAAAAAGCCTCAAGGAATTCATCTCAACAGAGGTCATGCATTTGACACCCCCAGTAATGGCCGGCTTTGAAGCAATCGAGCCGGCATCGCTGACCCGGTTGTGGGGGGGGGGTGTGGTTCAATAATGCACACATCACTCCACTGCTGAATGAAGGCCTCCTCACTCCCGTGTCAGTCGTATGGGTTACTATCTGAACTGCCCAGCTTTGCCCCGGGACTTGGATCCACCACGCCCGGCCGCCTTTGTCTCCCCAGTGGCGATGTTCACAGCACAGCAGTTACTAGTTTGTGGCTGAGTCGACCTAGGGGAGGCCCAGGACCGGTTGAAATTGTCACCGGTGGTGGCCGTTAGCGGGAATCGAACTCGGGTCGCGGGGTTCGTAGCGCGGTGCGCTACCTGCTACACTACAATGCGTTACGCTTCCACATGCGCGGGGCACGTGACAGATTTGGCGTCACAGCTCACTTGCCGTGCAAAAAATATCTGCATTATTGGGCCCCCCCCTCCCCAAAAAAAAACAAAAGTGTATTTTTATAATTTTTGCATGGCGTACAGTCTGGAAAGTACCCACATGGCAAATTTCAAGTTTGTTGCATGTCGGGAAGTACGCTAAACATTTTGAACAGACACATTCACAACTTTTCCTTTTATACATATGGAGATTTGACCATACTGTACCACTATTCTCTATGGGTGGTGGATGGTGGGCCAGCATCGGTTCAGATGTCATTGATGCGATGTTTGCCTCCAGACATGTGCGCCATTTAGCAACAGCAAGTGTGGCCGTCAGTGTGGGGTGATGACGCCGGCATGCCGGCAATTACTGGGCGACATAACGATGCATCAATTACAATCACTGATTGCATTTATGATATTCTTGCGAGCGGGAATGTTATGTCATCTCTGAGCACATTAAATAATAATATACAGTTGTCCTGATAGAATGAGCAAGTCAATAAATGACGTGGTGCAGACTAGACGGACAATACAAATGAGATAGAATTACTAGACGGTCATACAAATCAAACGGTTTAAAATAAATGGATGCTTGAAACGAATTTATACGCTGAATCATGACAATTCATCTCGTTGCAGGGTAAGTGCACGCATGGTTGGTAACATACATATTAGCCATACTAATACACATGTAAGGAAATCCTTTTTTTATATATATATAAACTATAATCTCTGCATCGTAATGCTCAAGTTAACCAACTGTAGTGGTAACATGTGAAGCTAAAAAAATACCAATGGCAATCCGTGAGCGTGCATCCAACGGAACGCATGGAAAACTGACGAAGGCATCATCGGTTTGACGAGGGATGGCCGCGTGGGTCGGCTATAAATAGTCACGTGGGGAAGTGGTGAAGAGCAGTCGATAGTGTGTGCCTCCCAGTTGGCAATGGTGATCACACACGGGGCTCAACAAGGAGATGTTGTGGGTGATGCTGCTGTTAGTCGTAAGGTCCAGTTCACCCTTGATTGACTGCTTGTCCGGCGACAACGGGGGAAGATGGTGAGATGGTGTTAGAGCAGTTCTTGGTGGGCGTCTCTACTAAGCAACAGATGGCAAAGGGTACACAGCGTTGGCGAGGTGTGGCTGCGTCTAAACTTGGTCTCGACATCTTGATCATAAACTGTTCAATGCTAGCAAATGGCTAATTCAAGCAGACTACTGTTTGTCAGTTTGTAATTTCACACCCACCAGTTATTTTTCTTGAAATTTAACCATTTTATCTTAAGCATAAATGCTAATCGAGCCTAAATATGAAGGCCATTGTGGTCTAAAAATGGGGGTAACCTGCCAGAAATTGAAGCATGGTGCTGTGAGTCCCCGTTATAATTACATGTTCTTGCTCGGCACAGTGTAAAGGGCTTTATTATTAGTCCTGTTTGGCTCAATTTCTCACGAATATTTTAATATTCCATTGGAGCTGCATATTGAAATGTACTGTTGACAGAGAGAAAAGAAAAGTGTGGGTGTTTCATGTTCATAAGTTGCCAAGTTAAACCAATGTTTTTATAAGGGAATGCAGAGCTAGCCACTCGGTGCTTCTCATACGAGTGATGAGCCTCGAACAGCATGTGATGTTTGTCAAGATGTCCAGACTGTACATTAACCTGTTATACGTTACAAATGGATAGAAACGTAAAATTGAAAATTTTGGCTACAGTGTTCTTGATTATCCATATCTCGGCCTTGGATACATGTATAACACATTCCTGCAGAGGGAGCTGGTAGTAACGTTAGGTTGCTCGGTCAATGACCAGGGTCAATGGCGGCGTGGTGTATTCCGGAAGTATGCCCGACTGTGAGGGCGGGCACAAGCCGGCGTGAGTAGGTTAAACGTTGAGTTTTATAAGGGCACCACGGAGTGACCAGCCCTTCCCCACCGAGCCTCTCCCCACCCTCCCAGCCCCTCCCTGCACGACGGACACAATAATCCCCTGTGGGCTGGTGTAACCAGGAGGTTCCTACCAGTATTATTTTTAACATGTCCTGATGTGAATGCTTTTGGTACCAGTGGCTGGCAATGTATTATTGTTGCTTTTATAATCCTGTGTATGGTATTTTAGCACTCGCATGGTTAAATAACTTGCAAAATTGTCATCAATAACTTACTAGGATTGTGGCAGTGCTTCAGTTAATTGATAATAGAATAATTTCTTGCGCTCAGGATAAATTACTCGAATTGTGCATCTACGATATTTTATTTGTTTACCTTGCATGTAATGGGTTCACGTGACATCTGCTGTTGGAGGCCACTATTCATCACAGTTGTGCCTAGAAACATACCCACTGCTGTGGCAGACAGTACTTGTAATGCAATATGTGGAATGTAAAACATTTGTAAATGGATTGCTGCATGCGTTTAATAATGGAGTGCTCTTATTCTCTTAGATCCTATCAGCTTTCCGACATGCTCATAATTTTAACTGAAGTATTTTAATAAAATAATATTTCAAGTGCCCTTTTGGAGGAGAGTTTGTAAATTCAAAGATGACAAATATTACAAAACATTCACATAAATATGTATGGAGTGCTGTAGAATGAACCTTTTTAATCCAGAGCATTGGAAACAAAGGTTTGTGGAATTGCCAAACATTCTCGAGACTGCGAGGTGGCCAGGAGATTGTAGTAAACCAGATGGGTTCATCAATTTGTTCATGCACCTAAATGTGCAAGCAAACGATAATCGCTTGTTATTTTAAAGGCCTTGCTCTTATTATATTGCAAATACTAATCTTACCAGTGATTGTCATTGTATCCCACATGCAACACACTCATTTTATTGGATTAGTAATTTACATTTGTAATTCTACACTGCTTTGCTTTCCCAGGCACTCTTGAGGATGGCAAGAAGTTTGACTCGTCTCGTGACCGAGATAAGCCATTCAAGTTTAAGATCGGCAAGCAGGAAGTGATTCGTGGCTGGGAGGAAGGCGTGGCCCAGGTAAACAAATATGCAGACAAGGAACCATTTTAAGCATGGAGGCAAACACCCACAACATTTAGAAAGTGCTAGTGAATACATTAACAAACACTTTTAGCCTCGACTTTCGTTAAGAATTATGCTTTCCTTTTAATGGTTTGAATGTGGCCACTCGCACAAAGGGGGTGGTGGGTGTCTCACTGGAGTAGGCCTGGCTGCTCGGTGAAGTGGGTGAGGCTTTGAATGCCGATACAGCCAGATGCCTAACTACGTATTCATTATTTGGCAGGATCGTAAAAGATGCTATTTGGTGCACCCCTGTTTCACCACCGTGTTTTTAGGCAAGCGCTAATGAAAAAAAAACCTTCTTAAACATTTAAATAAATGCTATTAAACATTGAGGATTATTCAACAAATCCATGAGTAACCAAAATGTTGGAACAAATAAAATGTTGACTTTTGGTTGTGACTGCTGTAACTCACTAATTCAGTAAACATTTTGTAGCATTTGCAGATTAGATGGCTAAATGTTTTTTTATCAAATGCATAATTTTTGCTTTATGGTAAAAAATAAACTGTGTGTGTCGTCTCGTTTTGTCAAACTATGAATGTGAATCTTAATGAGAAGTTGCATTGACTTTGGCCACGTTGGATTGCCGCAATGCAGAAATTGAATGCTGTGTTCTCTCTCTTTGCCTAGATGAGCGTTGGGCAGCGAGCACGACTCACGTGCTCGCCTGATTTTGCGTACGGTGCCATTGGGCATCCTGGAGTGATCCCACCCAATGCCACACTCTTGTTTGATGTGGAGCTTCTCAGGCTGGAGTAGGATGGTCACCCGCTCCCTGGTAAATCATTTGATACAGCCACCCTTGGGGTTTATAAAATGTTTTTATTTCATTCATGAGACAAAAAAAACTAGGTCAATCTGCAGCCCTGCAAATTTCTTGCTCATGCCACTGAGTAGAACTCTCCACTAGAGTGTATTTTGAGATGTACTCCCACATTCACTGCACTTCTTGGCCAGGTATCTTGAATGTTGACTAGACACCGCACAGACCTGCCACTTGGCGAGCTGAGGTGTACCCATTTTTACTGCTGGGCGGGCAGGGGTATTTAATAAATGTGCCATTTTATTAAACTGATAAAAACTATGCTGTTCATTCCAAAAGCCAAATTATAACTATTGACTTAAGATCACATGTGTTCAGGGTGGTTTGGGAATCATGGATAGGTAGAACTTTCTGTAATAAAATTAAAGTTTGCTATGTGGGGTAAGTTACATGCTTTTCGAATGTAATGATGTACAACATGGCAATGTGTCATTTTGTGTAACACTTTTTGATGACGTTGGTAAAATTGTTTTTTGTGTGTTGCAGAGCTGAAGCCAGAGAAAGCAATGCCTGTCATGATGTCTATGAAGGAAAGGCATGGATAGCACCTAGCTTGTTACCATGATAGTTATTAAAGCCCATTGCATTATTTAGCTTCTGTTAAACTGTCCTTAACACTTAAATCCCATTGTTTTTGCTATGTAATGATCACAGTATGTATTCTCTTCAGATGAGTGTATGTACCTATTATGAGGTTGGTGTTTGAGTAGCATGTGTCCTGTGGTGCGATTGATAATCTAGAAAACAGGATGCTGGAGATCTTGAGATGTAGTCTCAGGTCACCAGCTGGTTTCTCTGGATGTTTTTGTATCCTGTATAATGAAACTTTTCGGGACAGATTTATACAATCATAAACACAACTATAATAAAGCCTTTCTGGAACACATTTTTGGCTAATCATTTTATAATATCGTGCCGATGTTAACATTTGAATCACATTTTAAGTAAGCACATCGTGTCAAATTGCAGTAGCTCACTCGAGCCTATAGCATGCATCAATATACTTGTAGTAATAAGTACTTTAACTTTCTCAATTCTAATTAAAATATTTAATTTGATGGCTAGTAAATGGTAACTATTTTATGCATGTTTGTGGTATTTGTTTTGCTATCTTTTCAAGACAAATGGACAATTTCAATGATTGGGGTCCAATATTTTACAACCTCAGTTTGCTGGTCTCTACTGTGTCTGCCTTGTGGAGACCAAGAGTGTTGCTGTGCCCTTTATGCCCAGTACACATGGGTTCCACATCGAGCCAATTTAAAGTGTTATTTCCCAAACTGATGCAGTTAAACGTCGGAAGCGTAACTCTCTTATAACGTATATATTTACAGTAACGAATGAACACAAATTTGGGTCTCAGCAGTGTACAACACATGTATGCCAATGTGTTACTAATAGCTACAGACGGTCTGGACTAATTTTATCTTCAAACCTGAGCATGATCTGTTCCACCACTGCATCTGTTAAAGTTATCTGAGGACAGTGCGTGGCGTGCATCGAATGTAAACCGTGTTTGGAGAGGGGGGGGGGCGCCTGTGTTGTGGACCAAGCAGCGCCTTTGCAGTGTTTCCTTGGCCTGCTCCAGGTCGTCTCGGCTGCTCAGTACATTTCACATTTTGGTGGCTATCGATAAATTGCTCTTATTTACTAACATAGTGATACCGTTTAACTCCTTTTGGTGTGATGCTAATACTGTGCTTTCTAGAGTTCATTATTAATGTATTCATTTGCTGCTTAGGGAAATGTTGATAACATTCTTGATTGAACTTATGTGGGTGGATTTGAGTATTTTGCATGGCGAGGGTGATCGACTGGTTTCACTTTGTGTGACTGTTTGGAACTAACCAAAAGTTTATCTTTATAAAATCGAGCACGCGTGAAAATGGATACATTGTTCCTCTTGCTTTGCAGAGCATTCTATATGAATTGATTATTGAATATTCGTACATTTTGCAGTTTTTGACTTTTTATTCAGTTGCTAATTACATGACTAACAGAATTTGCGAACTGTCAGCAGGTCGCTACATTTTTAAATGGCTCTTGAGTTACAAGCTCACGTGTCACATTCATATTGGGCAGATGCACTAGCCGTAATAGCATTTCTGAAGTGCTGATTTGCTGTCCTGACATCTGTGTAATTGCAGCTGTGTGGATTGGACTTATTTTTTAACAAGCCGTTGTAGTATTCAATGGTGACAATACCACACAGCTGTTTGGATGATTGGATTTTGGAAATACTGTTGTGCTGAAAGGTGTTCATCTTGAAGCAAACCTTCGTACGGATGCTTACCGTATACAGGAGTACATCGTAACACCATCTAACTGGCATTTCGGATAAGCGAGTTTCACCAAATTATATTTATACATCTGAACTAATTTGGCCAGCTAAAATGTATAGCTGTGACCAGTATACGAGATGAGAATCTATATCTGAATACAATACTGGAGAGACTTGAATATCAGATCCCACCTTGTGTTGTAGGTTGAAGCAGTTTTAGCCACTCAAGAAGCCATTTGCTTTTGATCGAGTTTCCCTAAACTCAGTCTCTTGCTTCTGTAACTGGGCGGGCCGCATGGTGCTGTGTTGTTTTCGATGCAGTGTAGTTCATTTTTGCATTTGTTCTGTATGCCAATCCACTCACATTTTTCCAATAAAGCCAAAACCTGCTTGTCTTTACACTGTTCCATGCGTTCAGAAAGCTTGTCAAGTGACCATTAAGTTGCAGTCACGCAAAGAAAATAACACTTCGTCTCGCGTGCCTTTATTGACCACGTGCTGTGGAAAAGTAGCTCATTAGAATGTCTTACGTGTTTTGTATTCATATTATTTCCCTTAATTACATTCAAGTGTTGGTTAGCGATGACAGACATGGGCAAATATTTTCTACCCACTTATTACCAGAAATGGATTTGGTACACTGTCAATGTTAAGTTTCGCCCATTATAATTATAGAAGGTAAGCATTTCCTGGGTTATAAAGTTGCTTTGTAAGATGCTACAAACAACCCAATAGTGAAACTATGCAAATCCATGTTTGGTCTGGAAACCGACGACTTAAATTCTGAAGAATCAAGTTACATTTACAAGGCATTTCATATTTAAATAAAAAACAATTTAAGACCTTGCATAGGCGGTGGTGTACAACTACGATTTATAAAAACTCGCTACCTTCATTAACCTTGCGGGCAATGGCACTTAAGTTAATTCTTCAAAAGCACCCATCTGGCGTGTTGTGCGCACAGTACGTCACACATCCGCCCGAACCAATTATCCACCCACACCCAGTCATTTTGTGGCGCAACTCTTAGATGTTAAAGATTATTTTTTTTATAGTTTTATAATCTCGCGTACATTCGCTTCTAAACTGCATCTTGCTTCAAGCATTTTTTTTCTTTGGCCAGGAGCCTGCACCGTGACGGTTAATGTACGTTCGCACATCTAGCGATACCTTGGGCTGCGAGTCCGATATGCAATGTACTGTTTTATGTTTGGCGGCAGTGTGCAGCCTCTAATAGAAATGTTATACGGCGGTGTCACTGGCAAAGATTTGGGCCGCTTCACCGGAACCACAAACCATGGGAGATGCTGTAAACAGATGTATATGGTGAAACCAGTTCCCCGTGCAAGTTACTCATTGCCCAATGGGTTTTACCAGTGCCAATAAAACAAAAACCTGATGCACGAGTGGCAAATCGAACACGTCCTGCGTGCGACTGCTGCTTCGGACTCCAACCCATGAACCACAACACCTCCCAGTACCCCAAACAGACGGCGAGCAGTGGGCGGTTGCATCGACAATTCACCCAGTCAACGTGATTGGTTCGCTAAATCGCTTTCATCTGAATCTCCAAATAGTTGCCCTTCATAGGCCGTACGAAAGAAGAATTCTACCGGTGGTGAGGGTTTTAATCCTAGCATTTCAATCACGTGCACCGGTTCTCTGAATTGACTAACCCAGGGTGGTGAGAGACAGCACGAGGAGCGTGATCGCGGGGCCAAGGGGCGCAGCGAGGAGGCGCCGCGCTCCGGAGGTCAAAGCACCTCTCGTAGGCATCAAAGTCCACCTCCCCGATGGCGCAGTAGTGGTCGTCCCGGCACGCCGCGTCGCACTGCCCTCTTGTCGTAGCTCACCGAGTTGAAGTCGTAGTACTTTTGGAACAAGTCCGAGTCTGCGTTCATCTTCTGCAGCAGGGAGTCGAGCGCGGCAGTGGACGCGTCTGGCACCGAGAAGTCCCGGCGAAGGCTGTACTCCTGGCTCCACGCGGGATCCGAGTTGCCGCTGTTTACCGTCTGCAGGTCGATGTAGTGCGTGAGCATATCCTGCACGCACATTGCACAGCGTCAGATGAGACTAACGCCACCTGCGTTCGCTTCACAATCAAGGTTTTGTGAGTCAGATCGCGTAAATAACAATGCGTCGTTAACCCATCAACCGACAGCCAATCAGTAAGGTTTGGCACATAAACAAAACGTGCCAATTACTGCTTCAGCACACCGGTTGTGTTGGACAGTATTACGAATAATATGGGTCGCGAAAGTCTTCGTGTTCAACTGCTTTTTATGCTTGTACAGTATTCTGGAATATTTCTAGGCTCACTGACACACTTTTTTACATCAAATTTGCTTAGCAAAAGCTCAATAAGCTAAGTGGCCAGCAACCAAAAAAATCAGTATTTAATGTGTAACTTTAAAGTGTGAATACGCTTCTTGAATTTAGAGAGGGGTAATTACGAACTTGGGATAAGAAACGGCGGGAGAGAGTTCCAAGGGGCGATCAGTGCGACTGGGCACGTGGCAGGCAGCCGTCCGTGTTGTGTGGGTGTGGACATGTGGCCTGGGTTGCTGGCCCGGATGAAATTAGGCACTGCTCTTGCATCCAGCCGATAGTATCTAAGATTTCACCACTTTGTTAGAAATTCACCAGCGGCTGTCCGACGGGCAAGGCTTGGTCCCTGGCACCCGAGCGTGGGGCAGTCGAGCGCATCTGAAGTTTCGTTTCACAATGCTCGTTCATGCGCCAAGGTACAAACCGGTTTAACACGCAGGAGGCTTTCGCGACCAATATCATCCATCATAGAGGTTTTTTTTTGGGTTCGATCGCGTAAATATATAAATGTGTCGTTAAACTCGCCACCACCCGACACAGCCAACTAGTAAGGGTTGTCACGTAAACAGAACGTGCCAATTCGTCACTAGTACAGCACCAGTGTGTAGTGTATAGTGTAGTATACTAGTACAGCACTAACCGGTGTGTTGGAGAGCCAAGCCACAACATTTACAATCTGAGTACGACGTTTCGCCAGTAGTTACAACTAGCTAAATCAGGCGACAGCCAGGTTTGTGGAGAAGTCCACCCGTTTCGTTCCTTATTTCGAGGCGTAGATGTGGTGACCACACTTCTGCGCTCTTGCGCAAAGTGGGGGGGTGGGGGGATTAATGAGTGAACGTACATTATGCATGCACATTATGCAAGCCCATTGATCTTGTACTCCCTGTTCATTGTGTGTACTAAAATGCATGTATAGGCATGCATTTAAACAATGTTATATCAATTCTCATGGCCAATAAGAGTCATGTGGTATAATTTTCAAACGAGTCGAGTATTGGTGTTATTGGGAAGGCCTTTATCCTTCAGGAGTTTGATCATGGTGATTGTTTGTCAACAAATGTTTATTAAATTTTGCCAGCTCGGGTGATACCGACAAGTGAAATATTTGCACGCGCACTGTCGTGTTTGTGCGGCAGGAACGATGTCCCTGGCCGTCGTGAGTCGCTCCACCTGGAGCTGCAGAGTGGCTTTGTCGTATTCGAACACTCGGATGCCGGGGTTGTTGGCGCCATCGTCCACGCCAGGCAGCGTGGTCTTCCAGGGCGTTATTCCCGGGGCGATGAGCATGGAGCTCACGGCGTTGCCTGCACCCCTCACAAGCCACACGGCACGCACGCTGACGAGTCGCCGGGCCGACTGAGGCTCGTCACGTCATCCCTGCCTCTCACCGCACGCCCTTGAATGTCCCTTCGCACTCAGTTCGCCCCTTCCCCCCCCCGAGTGTATCCCGATCGTGCGCTCGTTGTCACGCGATGAGGCCACGCATCTAGACGGATCTCTCGCGCAGCGACGCAACCCCGTCGCGTTGGAGAACGGCCCAGGGAAGCGGATTTCACAGAGCCACGTCTGAGATCCCTTCAAGTGACTGTTGTTGGTAGGCAGGAGGTGGCAGCACCTTCCCACCAGCCGTGCCACGGAGTCATGTTTGTCACAATAACAACCAAATCGAGTGCGGGACTACATTTAATGCGATCGGGTATTTTTTAGCAGTCATTGGTGACCGGGCTGAATCCAACTTCACTACGCTTGAGAAGCCGGTTTAATCACAGGCGCCTATCTGCATCTAAGCCCATGCCTCCTTGACGCGAGTATTTACCTGAAAGTGTACACAGTGTATATGGTATGCGACGTTTCAGGTAAGAGTGACTCTACCCGTCTGGCCTCTCTACGTGCCCTGAAGGCCATTGCCAGAAACGTCTCCTATGATAAAGCTTTTATTTATTTATTAAAATCCACGGTGTTCTTGACAAATGTGTTGAATTTTCTCATATGGGGAGGGCGGTTTTGGGGCCATATCTGAAGTTCCTCCTCCAACCCACCCCCAGTGCCGCGACCGGCCGCGTCTCTGACCCCTCCCGCGTCTCACTGACCCCGCGTCTCCCCGACCCCTCCCGCGTCTCACTGACCCCGCTCGTCCCGGAAAAGGCGGAAGCTGTCCGTGTGGTGGTGCCCGAAGAACTGCCCGGCGATCACGGCGTGGTGCTTGAGCACCAGCTGCACGTAGCGCCGGTTGGACTCCTCCGTGAACCACGCCTTGTCGCGGAGTTTCTCAAACATGCCGGGGGGCACGTGGCCGATGATGAACACCTGGCGGCGAGTCGGTGCACACGGTCCGCTCGGTGGGAGAGGAATCTCAGCCTCTGGATTGGTGGGGCGCTGGCATGCCTCCGCACACCCCAAAACGCCTCTCGGTAACATCTCGTCTCGACCGCTGCGATGCGGATCCAAGGTGGGGGGATGGAGGCAATCACCCTCCTCCCTCCCCTTGAGAGCCCGAAACTCGGTACTGTATTGATAGTTACCAGATAAAGTACATTGAACGTTTGCATTATTCACGTCGGGCCCTTTTTAAGATGCTCTATATTTTGGAAGCCTCTCCTCGGGGACTTTCTAGATCCGCCCCTGGCAGGGGCTGCCATTGATACGCTGTTTCGCGACGATCATTTGAAGGTTGTTTCCCCTGGTTCTCTCTGTCTGAAAATACAAATAAAATAAATATAGATCTACCGTACTGTTGCTGCTGTATAGAGAAAGTTCATGACTACAGAGGTGAATGTAATTGTTGCTCAGCTTGCTGTAATGTCTTGATGGAATGTCTTAACTCGCTGTGTTCAATAATTATGACATCACTGCAAGGGAGTGTCGTTTGCAGATGTACAGTCTCTCTGATGAATGCCTCCCAATGCCATGTCAGTCGTGGGGGTTGTTGACCATACTTCACCACGCTGGTCAGTGCGGGTGAGTGAAGGGGGGTGAGCTTCCAGAACCGGTTCCAATATCACTCGCCACTGACGCGTGCTGTGGCCAGAAATGTAACTCGGGCCTCCGGGTGCATGGCACCGCTTCTCCACCGCTCCACCCAAGCTCGTACTGTACCGCGTTTAGCCCCAGAGCAATCGTCTGTATTATGCGACGTCTGGGCTTGACACGACACCTACTTCTTCCTGAAGAAACCTCTGCCTGGCTCCCTGGCTGCCTGCCCTCACCCAGTTTGCACCACCGCCGCTGCCCGTGCGTGCTACGTCTCGCTGTGGCTTCGTGTTGTGTGGCCAGGGTGTGCGGGCGCCACAGTAGTGAGATGTTAACTACCTCGCCTGGTATACAGGTCATGGGTTCGATCCCGAACCTGACGCCTGCTGTATATTGTGTTTGTGTGTTCTCCCTGTGGTTGTGTGAATTTTTCTCCGGGTCCTCTGGTTTTTCCCTCCACGTTTAGAAACATGTGTTTCTAGTATTTGGCTACTCTACATTTCCACGTGATAAGCCACTTCGTTGAGCTACCGTTTCTGGCTAGGTCGCTGCTAAAAAAATAGAGTCATATAGCTTAGTGGGGCCTTACCTGGTAAAATAAAATAAAAGTTATCGTGTGTCTCTTGTGCGTTTCATCAGCGAGCTTCTCGCCACTCCATCACAACGCGTTAGTCAACCACGCTTAGCCCATGATTGTGGGTTTTCCACCGCCCCTGTGCTAAATTTAAAGGCTCATGACCATCTGGCAGATTCTGCCCCCCTTCTTGATGATATGTCTAACATAATGACAACCTTTGGGGGCGGGTGCCCCCTGGCGTGACATTGAGACGCGCGTCTGGATGGAGTGCGTGGGCTGGGTCCTGGCTCTTGTGCCTGGCAGTTGGGGTGAAGGCTGTCAAAGTGATTGCGGCCTTGAAAGCTTTGTTGTTCGGGAGTTCTAACCTGCTAAAAATAAAAGCATGCAATTGCTAATGACCCCGTTATGCAGACGTATTCTTAAACATTGGATGTATCATTAACCACTGCGTGCCAAAACAGGTACATGAAGCCATTTGCCGTAACCAAATGACAAACTTAATCTGCATGTCCAGTGCTAAATGTCCCGTGGTTCTCGCACTGCACTGCGAATCTGGCGGCCTGAGTACGATTCCTGGCCAAGCTCACATCAGTGGCGAGTGATATCTGATTCGGCCCTGGGACCCCCCCCCCCCCCCCCACTTCACCAGGGTGCTGAAGCACGACAGCCGACATGACCGACACGGCCTGGGGTGGCCTTCAATCCAGCAGTGGATTGAGAAAGGGCTATAAATTCATATTTGACACCATTATTCAGATTAGTCTGTAATTGTTCATGGATTTGCAACCCAGAATTTAAATTGGTTTTAATTTCGTGATATATATATATTTTTTAAATCTCTTTCAACCCACTTGGCAGTTGTTGCATTGTTTTTATTTTGATGTGAAACGCTTTGAGACGCTGTGACATTTAAGCCTCCACCACATGCCAAACCTTGTCCTGAGCACGGCTTCAACGCGGAGTTCAGAGCCTATGTCCCTGTGCCCTCTACGGACAGAACCCGGCGTAGCATGCAGAAGCGTTGGATAACGCGACGTCGCGCGAGTATCGTGGCCATGAACAGGATTGGCGTTTCCAATGGTGGACAAGACAGGGCCTGTGTGAGTGTGAACGTGTGCCAGGGAAGCGGGTCACTATGACTCCTCCAGTGGCGGCCCCAGGCACAAGTAAACGGAGCAAAGGCTCATGGCCCCAATGAGCTCAAGGGACCCTGAATTCGTTAAAATATCAGCTCACATTCAGATACTAATAAACATTCAAACATAATGAACATAAAACATGTGACTTCATATCTCGCAACTCTATATTGGCTCCATGTCTCCATCTTTGTTCTCAACATTACTCTCTAATTGTACTACATCTCGATAATCTGTATCTCACCACAAGTACATGTGTGGCTAATGCAGACAGGATTCCTTGAATAAGAATTCTGTTTGGTGTTTTAACACCTTGACACCTGTTTTATTTCCAGAAAGGGTAAAGCCTATTGTTATATATGTATACATGTTGAGCTTATTCCACACCGTATGTAGCCAACCGTGCTGATGGTAGTAATGTGTTGCGCGGTGCTGTTTGGACCACTACCTTCTCCTTGTTGACGCTGGCGTTGGTCAAGACTTTGTCGAGCCAGTCGAACTGCCCGGCAGGATCGGCGAGGCCGGCGGTCTGTGCGTTGCTGGCGTAGTACAAGTTCGTGTTCAGCACCACGATGCGCTGGCCCGCCCTGCCCACCAGTTTCTCGGAGTAGTAGGCTCCTGTAAAACATCAACAGAAATAACCGCAGCAGTAGCTTGCCTTCTCTATACTCAACGCTAAACATACGTTTAACACGTAGTAGGGCTTTGCAGCCAATATTATGATTCCTAATAGATTTATGAGTCAAAATCCTGGATTTTAAGCTGACTTTGTGGAATTTTCTGAAGATGCCCGACATAGTTGCAAGCGAAACGTCGTACCCAATTGCTGCTAAATGTGGCTGAGAGGATTGTCTTCAGCTCAGGGGTGAGCGAGCTGGCACAACAGTAGCCGTCGCTTAAAATGCTTGAACACCGATGAACAATTTATTTCCTTTGGCTGTGTCAGGTGGTGGAGGGTCTTACGATAAAAAAAAACTCGTTATGAAACAATAACTATTTTGTTGGCGTTGCCAGCGTCCACAGGATGGTGTCATTCAGTACATTTAGCACGATCTTTGTGGGCACCGCCACTCGGCGACTGTCCCCAAAAAGCTTTCTCTGCATCAGCGCAGGGCCTGAGCACCCCCCATGCCAAGCCCGTGGGCCTGCGATGATGTCACTCCACGCGGCAGCAGCGCCTCCACTGGCGCGTCTCCGTGCGGCTGGTGCGTGGTTGCTGCGGGGTGGTTGTGCTGCTGCTGCCGCTACCCTTGTGGAAGGTGCCCAGGGACTCTGGCGCCATCCAGTGCTGCCACATGCTTCCCACTCGGGAGTAGATGGTGTTGTTGTGCGGAGGCAGCTGGTTCTTTGGGTGGAAGTCGTGGTTGCCCAGGGCGGAGTACACGGTCACGCCTGCGTGGCAACACGGCGACACGGCCCTGCGCTTACAACAGGCTGCGGCATGGATACCGTGGAGGAGACGTTCGGAACGTTTTACGTCGAACGTCAGGAATGCTAATTACACAACGTGACGCAAATGCCTCGCAAACACCGCAATGACCAAGAGGTGTGGACAAGTGATCTCTCTGTGCCCCTGTGGCCTTAGAACCTGGAGGGGCATGGGGACCCAGGGAGGGGTTGGGGGCCACCCCATTGCCAACATGTTGGAACCCACTGGCTCGCAGAGGTGGCACCACACGGGGGCAGGTAGCTCGCCCCCACGCCACCTGGGAGACTTTGGGTCGGGTGCAGGCAACGAATTTTAGTCCCCTGCTAAAGTGTGTCCTGACGGGGAGCTAGGAGCCATCCTCATCAGCCATGGTCATTCCACTGCCAGCTGAAGGCTTCGCTAAGCGAACAGTTGGCTTACATGTAACACTATAAAGTAGTAGGTGTTGTATAAATAGTCATGCATATATTTACTGTAAAACGATCCATCTAAATAGTTGTATAGTAGCACAGGTTTAGCCAAAAAAATTATCACCGTTTTTTTTTTACTCGCCCCACAGCTGTGAGTATGCAGCACTCGACTGCATGACAATAGACTAAACACCATAGGTAAGGTAAATGCGCAGCTCTGCAAGTGCCCTCTAGAGGGTGTTAGGCCTGCGACAGAGTCAAGTCAAAAATTTTATTTTCTCAAAATGTTATCCTGTGCACGGTGGCGTATTTGGCGTGGTCTGAATGAACCTTGGTGCAAGGAATGGGCCCTGGTGGTGCAAGGAATGAAATGGGCCCCTCTGTCCAGTTTTCTCTGTCTTCGTAGCCCAGAACAGCTGCACCGCCTGCACACTCCGTAGCTACGCCACTGCCCAGGCAGTGGCCCTAAGCCGCTGGTAGAGGAAATTCCACAGGCTTTGAAAATATGGATTTAATTTCTGGCGTTTGAACATTCTTGAAATTACACTCATTGCTGACCTTTATTATCCGGCCCGGTGGCTCACCAGGAGAGCCAGGGACTCTCAATTGTAGGGTTATGAGGTCAACTCATGTTTGGGGGTTCACTCAGCCTATCATTCCTCTGGAGTCGATAAAATAGTACCACTTTGCGGTGAAGTCAACGGTGGTCGTCCTATGGATAAACTCGCCTCCACCATAGGAGCGAGTGATTCCCACCACTGGCTCAGGGCTGTAAACAGGAAATTTGCACCGCCTCGATGCTCATTTGAGCGGCAGAATATCACTCGACTTTAGAGTTGTATTGAGTTGAACTCGAACGTGAAAGTGGCGGTGTCGATCACTCACCAGGGAAGGCTGCCGTGATGACGTCGGTTAAGTTTTTGATAATTTCCAGGACGGCTTCTTCTCCCAGTGCACTGTCAGGCACGTGTGGAGTGTCATCTCTGAAATTCAGACAAACGAAACAAATGGGAGAATGAAAGCCAGGTTCGTGGGTGCCTCTCGTACAATGCGGATTAAAGATCAAGGTGCAGCCCTGCAATCTCTCACTTGTGACACTACTGCTAGAAGGGCCTCCACTCGAGGCAGCTCTAGAGAGGCCTTCTGGACGGTACTTTGGCCTGCTCTTCCAAGCTGGCCAGACATTTTGGAAGAGGTGGGAGCGACCCACAATTCACCCCACCACATGTGACCTGCCAATCAACTGTGACGAACCCATGTGCACTGCGGGGTGCACAGAGGGAAGGTTTTTAAGATATTTGCACCATCGTTTAAACTTACGCGCCAGTGTTCTAACCATCAAGGTAAGATTCAATAATATTTCACGGAATCTATTTTAGACAGAGTACTTGACGGCTCCATCTTCTTCACTAACCCACAGTGACCCAGCGCGGTGAAGTATTGTCAAAATAATACAAAATGGCCGAGGAAATTAAATACTTTATTTCTGGGACACTATATTTTCCAGGGGTGTACTTAACTCTGCGACTGGGGTACCAATCAGTGCCATTCCGCGATGTCGAAACGCAGCGAGGACGATTGCGCTGAAACCCTGAACGCTCGCTATACGCACCGTATTGGTGCATCGTGTACAGCTCGTCGAGATGAGTCGGTTGCCCCATCGCCGACCATCAGCAGACAGAAAATGACTGCATCGCGGACATGATGCGAGAGCCGGGGTACTATGGTATCCCGGGGTATCGCCATAAGGTTCACATGCCAAAAAAACGTAAAACGTAAAAAATTTGAGTTGTTTTCACGTCGACGGCTCTCTGATCAACACGATAAGAAAGTAATTAAATAAACGCTGACATTACAAACTTGCGTCATCCATTGAGTTTGTGAGCTTAACTATCTCCTTTGTTGTCTAGAATAGGGACACACCCTGTAGGTTTATGGCTTCTGCTGTGTGAGATTGCCCCTCAAACCCTGCCTGGTGGAGGAAGCGGGCAGTGCACGCCCAGCGGTTCCCAGCGAGCCTCCTCCCCTTTGACGCCAGATAAGAGCCCCAGCAGGTGACGTGAACGCGTCCCAGTGCAGTTACTGGCCGTCGCGCACCTGTGACATTAACTGCATCGTGCTGAAGCGTGTTCTCAACTCCAGTCAACTCACTCCGTCGCGTTTGTTTTGGGTTGTACCGCATAGTTCAAGTTTCAAGTTTATTTCATTAAACCCAGGCGAGGACTGAGGATAATGCAAGAGCGACCGGGGGGGCACTGGTCCATCAGCAGGGGTGATGATTGGTGCTGCTGCTGCTGCTGTGTGTATAGCCCCAATGAAGGAACTTTCGGGGTCATTTTCGAATTTCGCAAATTTGGACCCTGAAGCCAGCACACAACAGCCTACTCTTGTGAATTGTGAATAACGTCAGGGGATCTTTAACGACCGCTCCGAAGCAGGTGGTGCGTAGTGTGATTACATTTACTACACACCGCCGCCATATTAACCAGGGCGGCAGCTGGAGTCGAACCGTGAACTTCTGCAACGAACGGCGCTACCGCTGGGCCCCGTCACCGCCCGCGTGTTGTTTGGCATGAAGTCCGGCGAAGGAAGAGGCTGCCGGCACGTGGCACGGAACGTCGGACATTGTGCCGAACAACACGCGATACGACTAGAAAAGCTCATCGAAGAGCGGCACAGCAGCACAACCTCCACTCTCACTCAACTCTACAGCTGCGAATTCTGATACTGAAAGCTACAGCTTGCAGCTCACCTCAACCCTAACAGTGCCACAAGTCTGACGTCGGCCTCGTGGCTGTACCCAATAGGGAAACAGCTCAAGCCCTGCCTCTTGCTGACGCGTCCAGGATGCAGTTGACATTTATCTTGTTGGAAATTTATGGCGTGCCTCAGATCAAGGCGCTTTGCATAGACTAAAAAGCGTAAACAAAAATTCAGTGATTTAGATGGCAGGAGCCATCTAAATCAAAACTCCACCCGGAGTTTTGAGACAACAAGCCCCACCGCCTCATACTCGAGCTCTCCTCGAGACCCTCCGCCCTGGTTGGACACCTGCTTGAGGTTGCTGGTCAGTGCTTGACCCAGTACGTGTCTAGCCGTAGTCGGCGTGACCTCTCGTGTCAGGTGGCAGGTGCCGGCGGCTGCGTCCGGCATGCCGCCGGTGGTCGGTGAGCGATGGCCGAGGCGTACCCGGTCCACAGGATGAAGTCGGGATTTTTGAGGAGCCTCTTCATGTTGTTGAGCGCCGAATGGATGAGGGCCCATGGCGCGTCACATTGGTAGTGGCCCAGTGGGCCAGGGTTGAGCACGGGATCGCTGGACGAGGGGCACACGGCCGTCGGGTTATCTGTCACTTGGTACGCCGGGTCCACGTGCAGGTCCGTGATGTGCCAGAACTTACCGGCTACAGACGCACGCACGAACACGCACAGTAAGCAGAGACACCTCGTTTATATAAAAGGTGACATCCCTCCCTACCAACCGGGCTTAACGCTGCTTCCCGTCCGAGAAGTGATGACGTCGCAGCGTATTCGAGACCACTTGGTCGTCCGCTACCTCCGTGGACCTGACCCAGCGGTGGGAGCCGCTGAACGCGGCCCACCGCCTCGCTTCACGTTGCTTGCGGGGCCACTGGAGGCCTACCGCACCTCCGATTAGCACAGTTGTCTACGTACGGTGCGGAAGAAATTCATCCTACCACTTTGAAACGGCCAACAAATATTTACCAAAGACTGCAAGCAATATTGACCACACTAATGTTCACCACAATAATCACCGTGTTTAATTAGTAGCAGGCCAAAAGCAGTTCTCAGCACACGATCAATTGGCACAATCCGAGTGCAATCAAAGATTAGTATCAAGTCACGTGTGGTTTCCCACCAAGAGCATCTGAAGGTCCTATTCGATGCCCATTAAGGAGAGAGCTCCCCATCGCTGCCTGAACTTGTACCTGTCTGAAGGTGAACTCCAGGGATGACTGCAGTCAGCAGGAGGACGAGAGAGATCCCCGCAGATCGCATTTTTCTCTGTTGGTTCGGACGCCGGCCGCCCCGATGTGCCGAGCAAGCGGATTTCAATCACCCCCTGGTCACGGTGCCAGCCGCTCAGCGATGCCGGCCCTGGAACGTCACGACGGGTTGCGTCACAAGGGGCGCCCCGCTCCGCCCGGTGAACGTCCCCGCTTCCTCTCGACTGTACAGCGCTTGCCAACAAATGGATGAGATCAAAAAAAGAAGTGCATTTTTTTTACGCGAGTCCATGAGTCACTATGCGAGTCAACGAGTCTCTGTATGGGACTCTGATGACCAGGCTGAAACCATCAACTCCATTGTACTGGATAAACCTCGATGGCATTCTGGGCAGCTGAAACCCGGATTCGAACCCAGCCTCTCAGCGGTGCTTCAGGCTCAGCGCTCGGACCTTTGAACTGCCCGGGGTCACCTCCGCCAACGTGAGCCACCGCGGCTGCACACGGATGGGATGACCGTAGAGTGCGATGGTTACATCTTCTCGCGAAACAACTGAGGTACAGCGGAGCATCCACATCAGCCTGCGTCATCCAGTCGCCCGCAAATACAAGACGCTGTGCGTTCACACGGCAAGACGCCGAACACCGCGCGAACACCTCGTCTCACAGAGCGAGGCAGCAGTCTCGTACTAAACACTGCACGCACACCTACTACAGCTCCAGCATCGACGGCCCGACACTGATCGACTGCCAAGCTACGGAGAGTACAAACTCTGAGCCGCACCAGAACGCACGTTTTCGTCCTGCAACGTAAACGCCTCGACCCAGTGATTTGCTAAAATAAATATATAATTAACCTACGCCGCCAGACCGCTGGGCCACATGTCCGCCTCTTATATATTTACTTTAAAGGCGGTGTTGACCACTGTGTTGAGTTTTGTGTATGAACGGTGTTAAAATCGGCGTGCCACATTGTAAGTGGAGCCGCTTACCGGGCGCCGAGAGCTCCTCCGCCTCCTCTGCCGCCAGCGGCGCCTCGACTGGAGTCGAACTGCGACCACCGCACCTGAGGGCACGCGGTGGGGGCTGGGGGGGGGGCTCAGAGCCGTCGCCACGCGATTGGCTCCGGCAGCTGCTCGGTCCAACCGCAAGGCGCACGCGGTCTGCCTCGTGGGGCGGGTGGGGTGGGTGGGGTGGTTCTCTTGAATCATTATTCTTATTAAAGCCTCATTGAGTCTCAAGACTCTTGTTCAAGGGGGCCCTGATGAATTTTCAAATTAGGGGGGCGATGCGCGGGATGTTGAACTTCTTTCGCACCGTACGTACCCGACCCTGCTAATCGGAGGCGAGATGTTGCTGTGTGCGATCTCAATCGAATAACTTGCAGGTATTTTTTGCACTGGGAAATTTGGCCAATACGCGTTATATTGTACATATATATACACATTTTTGTTATTGGAGGAAACTGGAGAACCCAGAGGAAACCCGCTCAGAATAGGGGGGGGGGGGGCATGCAAGCGTCATCCAGAAAGACACCCGAGTCGGGTCTCCAACCCAGGCGCTCTTTGCTGTGAGGCACGAAGGTGAATCACTGTGCTGCCACCCTGCTACCATCGGGGCGAACACCACCCCCTTCTCAAGACACGCTGTCTATCGACATTTCATTGATATCACCTGAGGCAAACATATTGATTTAGTTTGTATGACTAGGGCCCGATTTAAGATGCTTGAAATGTTGTCACCCTCCCCCGCCCCTTTGCGGTGTGTCTCGACCCCCTGCTGCCTGCCTGCTGCAAAGGAGCCTGCCTCGAGGCAAAGTCCGATGCAAAAGAACAACATATCGTAATGGGTAAATAGGTGCACAGTATAGTGCGGTCCTTGAACGCAAAAGAGGCCTGTTCAGATCCATAAAGTGTTACAAATTAACTTCAGAAAGATAACGTGGACGTCATGTACGGTGCGTTGCACTTGAAATCGATTTTCGTTAACCAGCTGAGAACTCAACAAGACCAGCAGTGACCCGGGTCACCAACATGACAAAGGCGACATTAAATTTATTTCGGCATGACTCTCGCAAAAGTCGTTTTCTCGACTAGTCTGTCCCTGTGGCTCAACCTGCCTCCATCCTGAACCACACACCACGGCTCTCCACCCAGACCCACACACTCCTCACACACGGACTCGTCACTACAACTCTCCACCCAGACACACACACTCCTCACACACGGACTCAACACCACAGCTCTCCACCCAGACCCTCACACTCGTCACACGGGACCCCACGCCACGTAGAGACGATGTCGGAAGGTCATGCATGGTACCAGCCGAATCAAAACCGGATTTAAACGGCTCATGGTGTCAAATCCCTCGAGTCCCTTACCCAGTGGTGGGCCTTTAGCTCAAGTGGCCTCCATCCTGTCCGCTCTCGAATTCTCTCCGATTCTCCGCATGCCCCTTTTGCTTCCCCGAGCAGCATCGTCCGTGTCCTGCCTCTTGGCCTCTTTCCCAACGTCTCTCGCCCTTCCAGAACGTCCTTCGAGCTCTCGCCTCCAACGATCTGATCCACATCTATTGCCTTTTTGTTGAGATGATTTTACTTTTCTCTTCCTTAACCTGCTCTACAGCTCATCTCTCCTCCCTAACCTGCTCTACAGCTCATCTCTCCTCCCTAACCTGCTCAACAGCTCATCTCTCTCTATCCATCTCTCTCCATTCGATGCCAAAACCCACTCTTCAAGGCTTTCAAGTCCTCTTACGTCTTCCTCACTCAGTTTCTACCGCACACAACGTTGCACTTCTAGCCATTTTCCCAGTTATATCTGAGTCCAAATGACACGGGTGGTCAATACAAACGATAACACGTGGACAAAGTCCGCTCATTCTTACTCAACTGTGACCACAACTCTGCATATCAAGGGTAGCTAATTTGTGAACTTTACCGATTTGTGCGTGACTTACTTATGATGGCATCTGCACCGATAAAGGTTACATTACCACCGAGTATCGATTTATTCGGTGTGAAATCATTCTGAATATTTAGTTCCTGAAAGAAGCTCCCAGCACAAAGAGTGAAACGTCGGACATCATGTTGAACGACACGCGGCCCAACCCGAAAATACGTCCGAGAACTACGCAGCACAACCGCGAAAACGTAGTCCATGGTGTTGTGAAATGACGATGGTGTTTCCTTGACTGTTATTGTAGTTCTGTGTGTTGGCCAGCGTGAGTCGAACAAGCAGCTCATCTGGTGAAAATAAACCACGATCTCGACAAGTGATTGGCAGTTTGATTCCTTGCTTTTATTTAGCAAATGCCACGGCTCGCGTGTAATAAATCACAGGACACGCACGTCGCGGTTCATGGGCATCACGGTTAATTTGCGTCAGCCACAGTCTCACGGGTAAACATGGCACGGGCGACGCGCGCATCATCACCGGCAACTCCCGATTTCATTAAAGCCTTGCGCTCGCAATTCCAATCCGACCGATTTGACTTTTTCTGAAATTTGTCAAAAAATCTACTTCAATCGTCAAACGCGTCCATCAAGCGGAGCGGCGCGTCCGTGGCTCGTGCCGTCGCGCCTGCCCTCACTTGTGCTTGGCGCTCCGCGCCAGCGCCCGACGGTTCGCCGGCGCGCCCCACAACGTGCCGAAAACGTCCCTCTCGGCGCGCAGCGCCTCCTCCAGGGGAAGCTCGGCGCCGGACAACGCCACCTTCTTGGCGGCTCGCACCACCTCGGGGGCGCCGGCCACCCAGGGCTCCAGCCAATTAAGGGCGGCGCGCAGCGCGGCCCTGCCGCCGTCGTCGTCGGACGGCAAGGATGACGGCGAGGAGACCGGTTCCAAGAGGGCATCAGCGAGACCCAGCGCCAGCGCTTCTTGCGGCCCGGCGGCCTCCGCGCCGCTCAGCAGCCGCAGCGCGTGGCGGTAGCCCACGAGGCGCACGAGGCGAGCGGCGCCGCCCCAGCCCGGCACCAGCCCCATGTGCCGGTGCACGAAGCGGATCTGGCTCCCCGGCGCCATCAGCCTGGGGAGACGCCGGAGTCGCGATCGCCGCTGTCGTGTGTGCGACTCGCCACCGATTGGGCGTTTGGTAGGGGGAGCGAACGTACCGAGTGCTGCTCGGTATGATGTTCGACGTTTCGCTCCACGTGCTTGGAGCTTTTAAAAAAAACTTAATATTTAGTTCTGAAAATGCATCAGAGAACTGTCGAGCAGAATCACGAGTGCTCATGCAGTAGTTTCAATAAAGTATGTCCTACCGTGTTTGTGAATACTACAAACTACCACTATTTTATGTTACCAGGTAAAGCCCACTGAGCTATGAGCTCTTTTCCAGACGCGACCTGCCGATACCTGATATCTCATTGAAGTGCCTCATATCATGTGGGAATATATATGAGTAACCAAATAATCTAAACGCATATTTCTAAACGTGGATGGAAAAAACAGAGAACCCGGAGAAAAATCCATGCGACCACGGTGAATGGAAGCCACAACCTCCCGTGTACCAGGCAAGGGAGATGACATCTCACCACCGCAGCGCCGTGGTTTCTTTTGTCCACTTATTAAGTTTTACAACTGTAGTCAGTTTAGTTTATTGGTTGCATCTTACTTAAAGCAAATAAGGCAGCCTTTGATGTTTTGTTCTCTGGAATTTAGCGATCACCATTCAATGCCTGTACGGACCCCGCTATTGACGTCGCATGGTTTCTTTTACGCACCAAGAGCCTCACCTGAAATCACAGGCAGTGGTCAGTTCAGCGCCCCCTCCCAAGGCCTTCCCTTCCACCAGCGCCACGCTGATCAGGGGCAGCCTGCGGAGCGAAGGGTCGGAGGTGAGCAGTGCTGTCAAGGTGGCGCCATTTCAGCAGGTGGTCCTCACCCAGTGAAGCTGCTTTGGGAAGGTCACTCGTGTGTGTGCGTCTCACCAGGCGAGAACCCAACAGACCAGGTTGTTCTAGTTTGTCTGAGTAACATCACGTTAGTTCAGTGGTTCTCAACATTTTGCTAAGACAGTCTCCCAATCAAGACCACGGGTCTCCACTCCCCCATGCCTCCCCCCACTCCTCCACCAGATTACCAAGGCCGCAAGATAGGGAGATCACAAGTCCACGCCTCGAGTGAACGTCGTGTTGGGAAGGTATGCGTTTCACGTTGTTGTGCAATCCATGACACAGCCTGCGCCCTCCCTGAAAGGCTTTGTCGGTGAAATGTAAAGAGAATTTTATACAAAAATGAAAAGGGTTGGCACCTCCCACAGAGAGATATTTGTGCCGAGAGACACACGGTATGGAGCGCAGAACCCAGTCATGTGAAGTCGTCTCATCAAACAAGGGTTCCAACTGAGATTCGAAATGAGGGCGTGAGCACATGCAGAGGAATCGCATCTTGTCTGTACGTGCACACGTGGCAAAGCCTCCCGAGTGCCTGGTGAACACAACTTGATTCCTCAGTCTGGGCCACCAGCAAGGAGATGGTGGCTGAGGTCAGAGGTTAGAACTGGCACAGCTGAGATGATGGGTTCGAATCCAAGCAGCTGCCTGTGGTTAACCAGGTCAAGTAAAGAGAGCTGATATCAGCGCAGTCACCAGTGACCGTACAAAAAAAAAACACGTTAAAATTGGTTCTGCACTTAACTTGGCTGCATTTAAAATATTAACTCGACTGTCGTGTGAAGAACCTCACTCTAACATGGCACCTCACTAACGTTGCACTATACTGTATGGACCAGAGGGCACTTGAATGAATCTCAGAGGTAGCTCTGTGACATCCACTTCAGTGGGCAATTCTGCTCAGTGAGAGATCCGGAGTCTTCGTCTCGTGATCCGACGCCGATAGCGGAACCGGGATAACATTTTGGGGAAAGATCAAAACAAAAATCGTGGGCCAGCACTCACCTCATCAGCCTCGTCAGAGTGTTCTGCATGTACATGCACATCTTTAGCCCATCCTACAAGGGTGAAACAAAGTTTTACATGTTGACTTTCGCGATCAATATCATCCAAAATACAGTTTTTTATGGGTTAGATCACGTAAATATAAATGTGTCGTTAAACCCGCCACCACCGAACACAGCCAATTAGTAAGGTTTGTCACGTAAACAGAACATGCCAATTCGTTACTAGTACAGCACACCGGTGTGTTGGAGAGCAAAGCCACAACATTTACAATCTGAGTACGACATATCGCCAGTAATTACAACTAGCTTCGTCAGGCAACAGCCAGTTTGAAACAAAATTGTTAAACAATAGAAAAATCACCAGTACATTGAGTACTGAGTGGTCCCGTTGCCTAATGTGGTCCTACGGCCCACTGCATTTGGCAGCACCACAATTCCCCGGAATTCAAATATTTTTTTGCAGGTACCACTGACGACATACTGGAGGCTCAGCTGCCCTTGGTAATTCCAGTCGCTGATAGACAAGCGTAAGTGGCACGTAACTGGCAGTAGCCACGGTCGTAGTAACGAGAGCTATACTGGGTGCGGTGTGCCATGTGTGGAAACATTTTCTGAGCCGCCGATTGGGCGGCTCAGACACGGCTGAAATTAATCGCTGGGTCACGTGATGATAGCGCAGTGCCTTGCTCTGGCTGTCAATGCCACTACAGTACCAGAGGCCCCAGTGTTGTGGCAGTTGTACTGCACTTGGGGTTGCATCACTCCAGATGCCTTCCCGTTTGTGGAGGAGCATGTTTGTCAATCCACGACTGGATGAGGGCATCCCCAAGCCGTGCGGGGCATGTGTTGGTTATCCGACCATACTTCACCACGCTGGTCAGTGTCGGTTGGTGAAGGTGGAGAGCGTAGACACGTGAGCATAGAAGTACAGTACAATAATGGATGTTACTGCACTGCCCTCTGCTGCCCACCACGTGACCGCTCGTATCACCGAGCTCAAACTGACCGAACACTGCGAGCTATAATTCTGGATGGGGTTGAATCAGCCCATCATCCCAATGGGGTCCATAAAATGAACACCACTTTTCTGAATAGCCAACAGTGGTGGTCCTATGAATAGACTCGCCCTCACCATGGGAACGTGGAATTTCATCCGAGCAGGAAATCACTCTGACTGTTTGACTTGAGCACAAGGAGACGAACGTGCGAGGGTGCGTGAGGGTCAACCCGAGCCGCGTTCACAGCTAGGGGTGAAGAGGCCCTGGGGGCCGGGGGCGCCGTGCCTGCGACGCTTTAAGGGCCCGCACGGCGTTGAGGTCGGAGCCCGAGCAGAATGTGGAGTTGGCTCCGTACAGGAGCAGCCCCTTCCCCTCGGGCCAGCGCTCCAGCTGCTGCACAGCGTCGTGCAGATCCACCATCATGGAGCCTGCACCCACGCGCGCGAGTACAGACGCGCGAACACACGCACACGGAACTGGATGCACAAACGAAGTGTGCTTATGCAGGCAGGTATACATCCGCGGGCACGTAAAAGCAAGCACGTGTGCACACACAAATATGCACGCACGCATGTTGAGACACATACACACGCCCTGCTACAGAGAAATGTTCGTCATATCTTCCCCTGATCCTCCGATTAGCAAGGTTGGCTACGTATAATGCGAAAGAAGTTCAACATACATACACATACTGATATTCTCAAATCTCGGAGCTATAACTTGGCCAACTTACATGAAAAGGTGACCAGGCAATGACCAACAACTCACTTCACTTGAGGACCAGGTTTCATCACGAGCGTCTGAAACCCGGACTGGAACGCAGGCTCTCGGCAATGCCGGCTGAGGCTTGTGACCCCCGCGGCCACTCGGCCAGCTCATGAGCACGCTGACAAGCACCGTGTTCGCACGAGAGGACGCGATGTCTCCGTGCACCAGAGACTCAACGTTCCCACGGACCACCGAGTTTCAATCAAAGTTTTCACAAATTTACAGCGGTGTCAAACTACGTGAATTATTATACTTTTCATCCAGCAGTGGATTGACCACGAGTGAAGGTGGTGAAACGATGCGAAGTGAAAGGCGGAGTGTGCACCGTTGGCTCAATGTATATTCTGCAAATGTGTTCCAACGACTGTGTGCGGTTAATGTATTAACGAGGCAACTACGAACACGATGCTGGAACCCTGATGTAAGCAGACGTTTCACTACAGGCAGAGGCCACAACAGCAGAGGGCAAAGGTCGTGGACGCTGTTTCAGCCACACTAGAACGGAAGGGGCAACCAAGGATAGAAAATGAGAGGGGAGGGGTGTACCACGTCTCAGCACACCGGCAGGACATCACACAATATTACCGGCAGCGGCAGCCAGCTCATACTCCAACATACACAACTGGTGTATGGATGCAATGTTGACTGCTTTATGTTCACTCTTCTACTGTATATTGCACAGACATACAGTGTACAACTGGCAATGTATTCAGCGCGAGACTTGCAATCTGTAAGTTGCGAGTTCAAATCCGGTCAGGAGTCGACTTGGCCCACTATCTTTATCTTCTCCGCGGTTGATAAACCCGCAGAATTAACCAGGGTGGCCGGTGTTCGAACCGCGAACGCCGCCCGCGTCGGCGCCGGATCCTGCGGTCCGCAGCTGCGTAGCGGCAGTGGCCGCGCTCCCCCCCCCTCGCCCCACGTACCCGTGAAGGCGTTCATGCGGCCCGGGTTGTTGACGGTCACGACGGCGATGCCGCCCTCCTCCTCCTTGCGCAAGTCCACGGATCCCCCGGGGAAGCGCAGCAGCTGGTCGCGGATCTCCGCCTCGTGGAACCCGTGCGCCGCGTCGTGCACGCCGCGCACCGCGGCCGGCAACCGCCTCGTGGCGAGCGGCACCGCGGCGGAGAGCCGGAGCGCCATCCCGCGCGGGCCCGCGGCGGGGCCTCCTGCCACGGCACGGCCACAGGACGCGTCGTCACCCCGTGCCCAGCGGAGACTCACGGCTACATTCTTGTTAGCGCTCTCCAACTCAGTCAAAAAACGTGAATGCGTCAGCGCTGTCCATGTGTAACGGGGGGGGGGAGGCATAACCCTTGTAAATATTAATATATGTTTTATAAAGTTATATTGCTATCAGGGACACTACAGGAAATCCTACATACAAATTGTGCCGTGCCATGAGCACAATTGGTAAAGACAAAGGGTCAAATAATATTTAAATGAAATGTGAATCCACAAACCAACATGTTCCATTATGCCCCCACCCCCTCCCTTAAAACAAATGATCGGGATGCAGAAGACATCAAAGCAGGACTCCCGAGTGCTGGAGTCAGGTTTGTTTGAGTCAGGTTTGCTGGAGTCAGCATGACATTTTCCATTTTGACTTCACAAAAGTGTGAGGGCAAACATTTTGACCGATTCGCTTTTGAGCTCAGGCCTACTAAATTCCCGCGTGAAGGCTTTAATAAAGGTGTGATAGATCCCAATAACATCACACTCTCAAGAACATCGCTTGTGTGTTATTTGAAGCGTCGCTCTCATAGGTCAACGGATCCGAGTATCCTGCGTGGCTCCACTAGGGGGTGCCTGGGGCTCGTTGTTGTTGTTGTTGGTGGTGGCCAGGCTGTCCCTGGGGCTCGTTGTTGTTGTTGTTGGTGGTGGCCAGGCTGTCCCTGGGGCTCGTTGTTGTTGTTGTTGGTGGTGGCCAGGCTGTCCCTGGGGCTCGTTGTTGTTGTTGTTGGTGGTGGCCAGGCTGTCCCTGGGGCTCGTTGTTGTTGTTGCTGTGCCGCAACAACAACATTGAGTTGTTCAGGCGTACAGCGTTTTGAGATGCCACGACAGATTGGGAACTGTACACAAATCTATGATTGTGTTACACAGTAGAAGTGTGTTGGGACCCACGTCCTTGCCCATAACATCTGACCGTTCACCAGCGTTGGTTCAAGCGAGCCTGATGATGAGACGCTGTGTCGAAACCAGTCCAGAGTTTGCTCGTACTGAATCAACGCTGCTGAAATGATACTCTCACAGAAGGCCGTGGGGCCGACGGGCTGAGTCAGACAAAGTCTGCTTCATCTATTCTGTCATGTACACTATCCACAACGGCGCTCGTGAGTAATGTTTATGAGTAGAGGGAGAACCCGCTGGTCTGCCACGGAAGCAAGCGGCTGTGAGTGTCACCGTCTTCCCACGCGTGGAGCGCGACAAGGCGGCGGGGGGGGGCTCTCTCCTGCTCCCTCTAGAGTGTGCACGTGGTGGTGCACGTGGTGGTGGACGTGGTGGTGGACCTGGTGATGAACGTGCACCGATAGGGGGGGGGGGCAGTGGCCCCGGGGCCCTGGCGGCCACACGCGCAGGAAGCGCCTGGGGGCCGAGCTTACTTCTGCGTGGGGGTCGACGCACGCGGCCTCGGTGCGGTCGTCGTGGGGACGGCCGCGCGAAGGGGACGGGAACTCGGGGCCCCGAGCTGCGTGGGTAGCGGGGCAGGAGGAGTGCGGGGACAGGAGGAGTCGTGGGGGCAGGAGAAGGAGTCGTCGTGGGCCTTGCGCGAGTGGAGAGGCAGCGGCACCCGCGCACTGAGCCGACCTTGAGCCGCGTCACATCCGGGGGGCGGTGCCGCCCGGACCCGGCGGCTGCCGCTGCCAATCAGAGGCCCGGGCCCCCCCCCCCCGGGCCCCCCCGTGCCCCCCCGTGCCCCCCCGTGCGTGGCGCTCTGGGGGGGGGCGGCTCTGAGCGAGCCCCCCCCCCAGCACCACGCCCGGCCGCCTTTGTCTCCCCAGCAGGGACGTGCGGTCAGGGGAGGCAGAGCCTCACCTATCATACTACAATGAAAATAGCTGTTACGAAAAAAGAAAATAAAATAAAATAAATATTAAGATATTTCCACTGAACTGTGTTATAAATGTAATTTCTGTACGATTCCAATCATTGTTATAGTCAAAATCGCCAAATTTGTGGAGCTCCGCTGCAAATACAGGAAGAGATGAGAGGCGAGGAGGCAGCGACGAGCTCAGCCTCCCCTCTGATTGCGCAACCCCTCAGTAACTAGATGGAGCGCGGGCAATCAGCGCGTGCCTGTTACTATCTTAGTATGTCACCAATGTAATGTTTGTAGACCCCTTCATTTCATGTCCTTGCCTTCCATACTCCAGGTAACTCATTTCACGTATGTGTATAAAGATATTTAGGCTCGCTGGTCTCGTCATGAAACTGCAATGAAAAAGCACCAGGGGAGGCAGCTATCACATCTGCCTCACTGAGGGTGACGTGTCTAACACGCCCCCCTCAGTAAGGCCACGCCCCTCAGTGTGTGAACCTGGCTCTGACACGAGCCAGTGCCTCCCAGCCATCGACCTCACCGCACGTCACTGCTCCCCAGTGGTGCACTTTAGCGGTAGGGGGCACACATGGATACGTTTAATTACCCACTGTTGTCTGCGTGCGTATTGTCGGTAGCCATGGTCAATCCACTGCTGGATGAAATCATCCCCAAGCCGTCGACATCCGCGATACAACAATCATCGATCCGTCTCCCGGGCGGCTGTCCACAGTAGTCTACGTGCTCATCTCTCTCTATGTACACATGCATCTCCTTCGCACCGTACGTAGCCACGCGTGTTAATCGGAGGTGTTACTGACACGTGATTCCAAGCATAAACCTCTGTCCGGCTTATTTGCAGTCTTTGTTTTCCATGTGTTCATATAAGTTACAATATATATTGCATTACTAAACATTGTAGAAATTAACCAATCGCATCTGTTGACGTTTAACATTCGCATGAAATGTCATAAATTGTAAATCTAAAAGCTTCGAATCCTGGCAGGAGATCCAATCCGTCGGGCGCAGCTGTAGCGAGGCACGGCGCACGGTAAAGGCGCAGCCCTGCAATGCCGGCTCACACCACCGCTAGCGGAAAGAGACCCTCAGATCGTGGACTCTCGAGGGCCCCTGTAACTTGGCCTACTCGTCCACGCCGGTAGGGAGCGCCCGCACTTGACCCCACCACGCGAGACTGCGATCGGCTGCGGTGGACTGCCGGGGAGGACGCCGACGAGGGCTGGTTGGTGACCCTGCCCATGTGTCACTAATCTTCCCGGCGACCTCTGGGAACGACCTCGGTGTCATTGCGATTTTACTTGCGCCTCCACTGGGCCGTCTGTGCCACTCTTGTCCAGAGGGAGCGTGCGTCCATCACAGGCTCCAGGACACGCATCTTCGTCGTCACGGTGAAACAGACGAAGTTCGCTCGGTTCCGAGTTGTTCACCCGTCGGTGGCGTTTATTCCCACGGCCACAGACCACGCCATTTAATTGATAACTATATACCTTCTATGAGTTGTATAATATTAGTACTGTATTGACGTATATTGATCATTCAGCCCTGCAGCTTCGTGAATGGGTAGACTAACGTCGCTAGCCAGACATCACCTACGTTTCTGCACACACAACATAATAATATAACCACTGAGAGGCGTTGTGGAGAATGTTAATACACGAGAAAGAATGCCTTTAGACTTTAATCAGTTACGTTTAAGCAAACACTTGGCCAATTGGGTATATTGGGTATCATCGGCGGAGTGAGGCTTCCAGCAGCCGCCTGCAGGTAGCGCTGTAGCACAGGTGAGAGACGGTACCCGACGGGCATGGAGCATCTGGGGGTCTCCCCACTCTCCACAACTTCGCGTGCCGCGTCCTCGAGACCGTCACACCATTCGGAAAGTAAGACGCACCCCACATTTTGGCCTGGCGTCAATGAACTTAGACAAATCTGGTCCCGCGCACGCAATAGTGGATTATAAGACGCAACCCCAACTATTGCTTTTAAACACAGGCACAGAAAGTGCGTCTTATAATCCGGAAAGCGAGTAACTGGTGGTAGTGGTGTGGAGGCTCCTAATTGGAATGGCGAAAGAGCGAATCGGTTGCCTGCCGGGGACCCACGCACTCCTTCTGCGTGCTGCGCGAAGTTCCCTGGACTCTGTTGCTTTGGGTCTTTCGGTAAAGCCACGTGGAATGAAAAAATCATCAAAATAATAACAATATCAAGACGTTCCGATCGCAACACAAGCAATCGCCTTCTGTTGTTCCTTTGAGCCGGATCGGATGAGCCGCGCTGTGGTCACTAGCGATGAGCGGCTGTCAAGCGGCAGGTCGCTACTTGCACGGCCCTTTCTTGCCGCCGATCGTCACGATGTTGGTGTAGATGTTTTTGCCGTCTTCGCGAGAATCTGAAATGGAAAGAAGTAGGTAGGTTGAACTTCGATCGCGCCCTACGTCACCAACCGTGCTGATCGGCGGTGCGAGAAGATCGTGAGCAGTGCTCCCCGCGCAGATCACGATGGCAGCCGCTCATGCGAGCGTTCTCCAGGGCAGACTTAATATCTGCCAGAAAGAAAAAAAATCTTGCTAAAAACTCATTTGCATTCGTATTTGCAAATCGGTGTCTGATTGGAAATGAAGACGCATACAAAACTGTGCAACTCTTTATCCATTATCTGCCTGTCCTTGAGATGGCCTCTGTGCCGAATTGCAACAGTGGGAGACTCACACTGATATATAACGATGACCTTGCTGTCGTAGAATCTTTTGTTTAAATCGGCTGGTGTGCTGCAGCTCGCCACGAGAAAAAAATAAACATTCACTGACAGCCAACGTTGAGCTGCACGGTGCTTAAATGTGCTCCAAAACCCTCAAGCCTGCCGCATCCAATAACAGATTCAACAAGCAGGATTGTGAACCTACATCAATATAATAAAAGAAAATAGTTTTATTATTTTATTATTTCCCTTCTACGTGACTTTACCGAAAGAACCAAGAAGATGCCTTTGGATTGTTCAACGTGTGTGTTGAGCGGCTTTGAAATGGCACGTGGCGACCACATTGGCACCACCATCTGCTACGCTGTTGCCCAATGGCAGCACAATGGGGCGTTGGGGCAGCGCCCCACCTATTATTTCAAATATATACTTCTATAATTTAATATAAGAACAATTTAAGTTAATAAAAGTTCGTTTATAATAAGTGGCTAATTTGAGTTCTCATTTTTGGAGGGCATTTCGAATCACTTCGGTTAGGATCTACGAGGAAATGCGAGATGTTGATGTAACATTATGAAAAACAATTCTTACGGGAGAAAATGAATGTATTTTATGACCTGCTGACAGAACCGAGTACAAAATAATCGACATTTGGGAGCCCGGTTTGTCCGCTCCAATGAGATGTATATTCTGCAATCTTATTGGCCGAATTAATTTACTCCCACTTAGTGCTGCCACCCCTTGAAGAAAATGAAGCAGAGAGGGCCCAAGTAATTCTGCCCCTGGCCAATGACAAGGCTATCTTCACGGGGACAGCCACCCCAGCGCCTCGTCAGTCATGGCGCCGGCATTGTCCCACCGCATACTTGGGCCCACAGCAGCTCCTGTTGAGCCACTCCACCTCACCTTCTTGTGCTCTGCTGGCCGCTTCCTGGGCAATAATGAACTCCGTCGTCTCCGACGGCAGGCCAACGTCGGTGTAACTGTCGTCACTGTCCCGAGATGCTTCTGCAAAAAACAAAATTCATTACACTACCGGCAGAAGTTCCTCCGCACTGCGAATGCTCCTGCTGAAACTTGGGTGGTGCATGTCGGTGTGGCGTCTGTACCGGACTGAGAGGGCTCCTCCACATAGACATCTTCGTAGTCGTTGTCATCATCATCGCTGCCCGAGGCGTCTGCTATAAAACAAACCCGTGTCATCGTTTATTTAAAGTTTATTAAAATCTTTCTCCTGAAATATTCAGCATGCCCACAGTCACGAGCTGATGACGACGTGCAGGTTTAAATTGATGGCAATAACACGACTCTTACAGGCTGAAATATGAAAATCGCTCTGCAATTTTTATAAAACAATGACACAGGACGACGCTCAGGGAATGACGAAGTACCGCGCAGAAGTTTCAGAATGCTAATTCGCGTCGGCGAAACGGCCGTACCTCTCCCCATGTCTTCCCCTGCCGTGGTCGGGATTTGCAGGCTGCACGACCGCTCAGCAATATTCGGCGTCGGCAATTCCATAGGAGACGATTGGCCATCCTGGTTTGGGGAACAAGAAAAAACTACATTTATGGATGGCTCATTTGGGGGCACAATTGTGTGGTTGTTTTTTTTACACTCATGCATGTTTAATCCTAACTGCCAGATGCGAGCGGTGAGCACTTGCTCTGTTTCAGCTGCACGCTCGTGCATGTAAACACGTGTCGTGGTGATGTTGTACTCACGTGTGGCTAGTCTACTCAAGTTGACCCTAGTCCGACTGTAGATTACGAAGGAGTTGAGGATTTTAAAAAATTATCATCGCGTCATCAGATGCCTCATGACGCCACTGTTGGCGGACGAAGCACGAACGTGACGACATCGCATCACTCGCTGCGATCTTATGGAATTGACGTCATTGCTGTGACATTTTCAGATAACGCAACACCTTATATCAAGAGCTGATTTTCAGATGTGCAGATTTTTTTCGGATTCGTATCAAAATGGGGGAGGGGGGGGGGGTCATTCGAATTCCCGGCGTAGTCACCTTTCCTGACGTCGCTGGCCCTCTCTTCATCGAAACGGCGTTGTCTCTGGTGAACCTCATGGGCACCGCCGGGCAGCCCTTGCTCGCAGAATTAATTCCCCTGAGGTTGCTCAGAAATACGACGGCACCTTTTCCAGGATCATCTGCGGCGGGGGCACGGGCCACGTGCTGCCCTTCTCCAACACTTGCACCTTCATGTGCACCCTGTTGATGGGGATCTCGAAGCAGCCGGCGGCGATCTCCCCGCTCACGATCAAGCAGGGGTCCTCGAAGCGCCCCTCCACCGTGATGGAGGAGGATGCGAGCGGATCGTCGGGCAGGAGCGGGTCGCCCGCCACCACCTTGACGTTGACGGGGATGGGGCCCCGCTCCACCACCTGCGCCAGCGACAATCGCCGTTGCTCCTTCACCACCTCCACGAAGCTGCCCTGCACGTAGAGGGGCAGGTTGACGACGGCGGCGGCGGCGGCGTGGGGGGCGTCCGAGGGGGCGCTGCGCAGGCACCGCAGGGTCTCCAGCTCCTCGTAACGGTCGTTGCTTTTGATGCGGAGCAACTCCCGGCCCCGGATGATCAGCCGGTCCCCTTGCGCCAGCGAACCGAGCTCCTCATGGTCGGCCTGGTAGTCCATCGTGGCCCGCACCTCCAGATCCTCGTCGCCTTTGGCCCACGCGGCGTCGATGTCGAACGTCGAGCAGAAGACCCGGGGCCGCTTGGTCACCAGGCCGCGGTAGAACAGCGGCACGAGGAAGTTCTGTGGCGGCAGGGCGAGGCGCTCGCGCGTCACCAGCACCTTGCGCACCTCCTTAGCCCGGTGGACCGTGAACTGAGCGCCGACCTCGAACTTGACCTTCGGGCAGGACGAGTAGCACCGCTGCGCCTCCAGCACAAGCACGGACAACGGGAAGCGGTCGGCCGGGTATTTGAAGATCTCCACCAGCGTGACTGGCATGACGAATGTCTTCTGCCTGTACTCTTCGGTGACATCTCTGACCTCGACGTCCAGGTTGGATGGAATGATGACCTCTCCCATGGCATCTGATGAACAGGGTGCACAGAATAGAGGAGCGGTGCTTCGTTAGAACAGAGGGTGTGGAGCGAAACGTCGGACATGATACCAAACGACATCCGGTACAAACCGAGAACGCATCGGAAAGAGACGCAGCGTGATCGTGGCTGTTTCTTGATGCACCCCTGCCGTTTCCACCAGGGTTCATTAGGTTGATCAATTCTCCCTCTCGTGTGTTCATTGTCAATCATCCTAAAGCTCGCCGCTATTCAACAAGTCCCATTCCCAGATGAGATCTGGCCTGAATGAGCGTAGCTTAGCAGCAGTAGGCAAGGAGATTAATCATTCTGATAACGCTGCTCGGATAATATGAAACCTTGGCCGGGGCGTTATCATCGTGCGTCTCAAAATAAGCAGCACAAACACCGCGTTGCTTATATGTCTTTTAATTATCCTAATAAGATTGTTTCCCCGAGTTCAGCCCTGTTAGGGACATCAGATGGTTTATTTCTCAGTGGCTTTCACCTCAAAAACTTCACTCACTGACAATTACATTCTCTACTTGCGTGGCGATACAAAAGGAAAAGGTGCAGCACTGCAATTTCTAGCTCACGCCACTGCCGATGGAAGGGCCTCCACGATAGGGAAGGTACTCTGGAGGGTATTTTGTCCTACTCCTTCGTGCTGATCAGACGTCTTAGAAGAGGTAGGAGTTCCCACTCTTTACCCCACCACACGCGGCCTGCTGATCAATGAACTGTGATTTAAGCCACGTGTACTGCTGTGTGTAAGAAACCTGCACCGTTGCTTCAGTAACAAATCAAACCGGCGACCAGTGAACTGCAAGTCGACCGCGGCAGCACTCCTTGTCAAAGTGTTTGGTCTACGATTGTTCCATCGTCCCCAGTCTCACCCCAACTGCGCTGTTCACCCCAATTTCCGTGAAGCGACCGCGGCAGTGTTTGACGGCAGCTCGAGACCGAGACGGCGGAGAGCGGCGAACTGACCGTTGACAAAGCCCACGATGGAGCTTCTGGCCGTGAGCTTGAGCACGCCCTGGAAGCCGCTGGGCAGGTGCTGCACCCCCTGCGTGGACGTGAGCGGCCGCACCATCCGCGTGCCGTCCTGCAGCAGCCGCCAGTGCACCACCTCGAGCAGCGTGTAGTGGCCGTTGTCCCGCGCCTCGTAGAAGTCGCCCTTGAAACGCAGCGGCAGCAGCAGCGTCGCCCCCGCGCCGCCGCCGCGGCCCTTGCGCTCGTAGCGCCAGCGGACGCACGGGGGGTCGGCGTCGTCGTGGTCGTCGCGGTGCCCCCCCTCGCCCTGCCGCTCCTCCAGCGCCAGCGGCACCAGCCGCTCCCCGGCCTTGATGGTGACGTCGCCGGCGCGGATCTCCACGGAGGCATGGAACGCCAGGTGCCAGCCGCCGCGCCGGGCCAGCTTGTAGCACTCGGCGATGTCCTCGAAGGTGGCGTACTTGCGCTGGCTCGGCTGGATCTGGAAGAGGCCTGCGACGGCCGCCGCGTCACGTCAAAGCAAAAGCACGCGGGCACAGTGACTGGAGTTGTTGCATTTTCTCCCCTCACGCCCAACCGCGTCCCACTCCCAGCCGTGGTGTGTGATTTACAGCGATGTAGGTTTGACCGAGATTGTGTACGAGTTCGCTAAGCAGTTGGGCGACGTAGGGCGTGGTGGATCTTTGCCCTTTATTTTGATTGCCGGGTACAGATCCAAAGCCCCAAAATGTGAAGCAGCCAGCAACAAACTGCACTTTGAAAGCGTCAAATAATTATCGTATTGAACAGAGAATTTAGCAAGGCTGCAAGGCCTGTTTTGCACGGCTTGCATGGAGAACTTTAAACGTGTTTTAACAGAAGTTGAAATCCATACCTGTGTAATCGATTGGGATTTCCATGATGATGCCGCGAGGGATGATGCACTCTTTGCCGTCGTTGGCCACCACTTTCGCCAGAATCTTATCGAGTTTGATCTTGGTGATCCTTATCACGTCGCCGTTGGACAGAGTGATTTCGCTGCCTCCCATGTCGTAGATGGATCCTTGGAACGGAGCACGCGGGGGAGGGGCGAGGGGTATCAGCGGCGTTTCTATCTTGCCCTGCCAGGGCTCCCACACCCCTTCTCCACTGGCACATCCGAGCCGAGCCAGCCCGAAGGCTTCATGGCCGAGCCGGAACAAAACCGTGATAGGATGGCCTCGCGAGGCACCTGCTCCTGGCTCTCAGCGTCATGCAGGCGCAGGGCTCACGACGCGTTGGTCGTGAGAGCCGCGTCTCGACACCGTGACGCGACATGGCGTCACCCCGCCTGTGACGTCAGTGGCACGGCTTCTGCGGTGGAAAAACAACCCTGGAGCACGGTTCGGTTGTGCAGTGGAAAAGAGGTACAAGAGCGTGGCTCTGTCTGAGCGCGACCGCGTCCGCAGTTCGACGTTTAATAATGCAGCACTCGGATCTACCGCTGCCAAAAGTTTGCTGCGATTTTTGCTATTTGTAGTGTGAACAGCATAGTCCATACGAACTTAAGCTGGAGCTCGCAACATTCTCCGAATTATTTGTTGTTACTCTGCAGTATATTAAACCTAATTATTTAAATAATGATAAAAATGTATTTCATATTGATGCAGTGAAGTGGCTTGCTAAATACATCGTGTGCGTTTCCTCGGCATTTCGTGACTCCTAGTCCCCTCCCCCCTCGTACGGCGTGTCCCCATCAGAATGCGAGATCGCTTTCAAATGTAAAGTACGATATCAATATAGAATGCAATGGTTATAGCACCGTGCTACAAACCTGGTGCCCGAACCCGGTGAGTTCAGTTCCCGGCCACGGCTAACATCAGCGGCGAGTAACACCTGAGCCAGTGATGGCCACCTTCGCCGACCCGCACCGACGAGTTTGTTTCCGCCGTGCTCCAACATCCCCCGTGAGAGACGCTACTTAGGGAGGCCATCGTTCAGCAGTAGGTTCTCAAACGGCTTTAAGAATTTACATTTTTCTGAACAGTTTGTCAAAGTCTGGCTTTCGTGATCTCATTTAATTTGTTATGGATTTTTACGGAAGGTTGTTTGAAGGGATCTGAATTTACTGAACGCGAAAACCCGCTCGGGCCTCACGTTACGATGGCTGCGTGAAAATTAATCTCCGCGAGTTCCAGCTCCGCAGGTTTCCTCTATGAACGTCGCGGCCGCCGCCGTGAATCCCTCTCGCCCGTCGACGTAGCGCGCCGCTCTGTTACCTCAAATAAACATTCCCCAAATCCGATTGAAAACGTGCGAGTCTGTGAATTGCGCAGCGTGCTCTGGGCATTAATTTTACATCAAGACGACATCGGACTCGTCGCAGCATCGACGACGCGTTCGTTTGCCGCAATGGAGCGGTTGATTGCAACGGAGATGAATTTCCAAGGGAGCCCAACATTTTTCTAAAACTATTTCGGCGATGCTCTCGTGAGCCGCAAAGTAAATTGCTAAACCTGAATTGGAAACGTTGTTATCTACTCCACTTTGATTTGTTTACGTGTGAGAAAAACATCACATTCCTTGAGTCTACAACGCTGTCCCCTAGAGCGCTCGTGAATCGCCATCACCACGAGCGTGGAGCGGTCCCACCAGCCTCGAGGTGATGCCGCAGTGCTCACAGCCAGGGGTGGTGGCGCACGGATCCAGCGGGTTTGTGAAGCTTCTGGAGCCGCGGGGTGGCGAGATGTCCCACCACGGATGGCAATACAACAAGTGGGCACATACAGCCGTCTGTGCGGACCTCTGAGTGTTTTGTCCTTGTATGCGCCGTAGGTTTGGTGGCCAAATACGAGGCAAGTTGGCGAAACACCCCAACCCGGATGACAGGGAAAGGTGCAGCGCTACAATTGCTCGCTCACACCATTGCTGGCGGGAGGGCCTCCACGAGGGGAAGCTCGAAAGAGCCCCTCTAGAGTGTATTTGGCCTACTCTTCCACGCTGGTCTAATGTCTTGGAAGAGATTGGCGGACCCATTAATATTGCTGTTGGGGAAGGGGTCAGGGGATATGGGAATGTTGCCCATTTTTTCTCCGCCGCACCGGTAGATGGAACCCGTGACGTCTGGATTGCAAGTCTACGTGCTGACCGTGACACCACAGCAGCGTCCCTGCCATGACAGCACAATCCGTGACACTCGGTGAGTCTTTTCTGGGTAAATAATTAGCATGAGTTAATGAATGTAAGGTGACGACAGGTGATGGCGTTCCGTGACGGTACCTCCGATGTACACGCCCGACGTGACTTCGGCGAAGCGCGGCAGGGCGTCCCACGGCACCGTGTGCGCGTAGGCGAGCAGCGGCATGGGCCGCGAGGGCGCCGAGCCTGTCATGCTGCCGCAGAGCGGTCCCGGCCGCGAGTCGTCGGGTTGCTGGGTCGTGGGTCGCTGTGTCAGCACGCTCCTGGGTGTCAGCACGCTCCTGGGTGTCAGCACGCTCCTGTGTGTCAGCACGCAGGTTACACGCCTCGAGTGAGGGACACGCTTAAAATGCTCGCTTCCGGCAGTAACCCACAAGGAAATACCCAACGCGCACTGTTGCCCGCTGTGTGTTTGGCCAATTGCACGATCTTTACCGACACCCCAAATGGTCACAATAAATTTCCCGAAAAGTGTAAATTTTAAAACTTTTTTTGCCTCCTATTTTAGGCCGAAAAGTTCCGCGCCAGGCCGATACTTAGCCCGGCGGAGATGTTGATCGAGAGGTTGCGTGTGATGGGGCAAAGTGTGGCCATCGTGGAAGAGTAGGCCAAATACCAACTCGAGGGGATCTCTTGAGCTCCCTTCGAGTGAAAGCCCTCCCACCATCAGTATCACAAGCAGGACATTCTAGGACTTTATCATTGGCGAATGTTAAAGAGGAATATTTAAAAAATACATTTTTGTTTTGTCTTTTCCTCCCGCTGTTACCCTAAGAATCCATTGAGATATGCTTACAGAGAGAGAATGGCATCAGTTCATATTAGCAGAGAAATTACAGAGTTGCTCGTAAACTATCTTCAAATGGCCAATTTCCATACGACAGCCACTCTACTTACTCATACACCCTGCTACAGAGAGAAATATCAATTGCATGACCGTCAGATCGATATTTTTTAATTCTCAGAACTCGCTACACTTGAGAACCACCTGGTGTAATCACGGGCGCCTGTTGGATCTCAACCCACGACTCTGGCAGTGGCGGCCCAGCGCTCTGACCTCTGGAGCACCTCTTGAATATTTCAGAATCTAATATCTCTAATGTTGGAAACACAATGGCAGGAGCTTTTGAAACATATGAAAAACTAAGTCTTGACATTTCAAAATTGTACCTTTGTGAAAATGTTGCTAAAATTGGCTGAGTACCAGGGCTCTGCCCAAGCAGGGGAAACGAATGTACCGCACGATTTGTGCTTCGAGCGACACAACACTAGTCTGGTCATTAATGTAGTCGTTAAGTTTTAGAAACTTCTAGTTTGGCAATGGGCACGTAAACACTATATCACCTTCATCGAGTAGACAATCGTCATTGTTTACGATCGTCTCCAGGTGGATAATCGTCGGGCACGTAGTTCGACTAAATCATTAAGTTTACTCTGCGCCTAGGCTCTTTACTCGCAGCATAATCCATCTCTTGAGCAGCCAATATAATTTACAAACAATTCTAATCACTTCCATGCTGCTGCGGTGCAGCAGTAGTCAGTGCACCGGATTTGCAATCCAGAGGTCGCCGCTCCGATTCCATCTCCTGGCTCGACACTTCGGTGCCAGGGTTTCAATGCCCCCCGCCCCCACCACCTCTGTCCACCTGGCGCCATTGCATCATGAATGGGTCCAGCACAGTCAGTGAGCAGGTCGAGTGCGGTGGGGTCAAGCGTGGGAGCTCCCAACTCTCTCAGGTTATCCAGTCAGCATGGAGAAAGAGTCAAAGCTCAAATTCCTCGTGTGGGGGGGGGGGGGGGCTCTCTCCCTACTTGGCAGTGGTGGCTGCGCGCGCCTCTAGCCCGGAACTGTGGAGGCAGCATCGAGGGTCGGTCCCTTCCCGTGGGCGTCGAGGTGCCACATACCCTGGCTCGCCAGGAGAAGGCGGTACAGCAATTGGACTAATAACCATCGGTTTCCATCTGTACGGAGATAGAGCGTTGCCCCCCCGTGTGCGTGAGTTTTGTCTGCGTCCACCGGTTTCGTCCCACTCGCATAGTAAACATTCATCATTAATTGGCTGAAAACGCCTTAACATGAAAACCGAATGCTCGACCGCCCTGAAAACGAGTCAGGCGACTCAGCGTGGCTCTCCTGGATAGACAAGTGACACGTTTAGTGGACGCGCCTTTCTCACGACTGCACCTTTAGCTTTGCACCGAATCTCTTTACAATGAGCACAGCTGCAGGTGTTGAATCGATAAACGCTCTCACGTGTACACAAATCAAACCAAAATGGAAAGAAAACCTGGTCTCGTTCCCCGCAACGGTGTTGTGGGAAGGCGTGGAGAGATGTAATCTGGGGCTGCCTTCGTGGTGCCCGCAGGTAGCACGCGGCCTTTTCCTGCACCAGCCACGTGGCGCGATGCACACTCTGACGCACAGCGGCGCCCAAGCTGTTGCGGTTTCCGCAACAGCTCCGTGTGGTCAATCGTGGTGCCGATGCGTGCCAGGTGCACGGATGTCGAACTTACCTCGTTACGATCGTCACGTAACAACGCGGGCCGATTTGAGGGCTCGCGAAGGTCCCAGACGACGAGCACCTCAAAGGGAAGATGTCTCGCCTGCGCCTGTAACCCGGTGTGCTGCTCCAGTATACGGCACGCGTGTCTCATTGTGATTCTTAGTAAGCATGGCTTACGAGCCACGCTGGCCTGGCCAAGAGTGAACGCGTGCTTCAGCGTCTCTCGCCACGCAAGGGTCCGTAATGGACGAAGTGTGCAGAACCAAACAGACGTCCGATGCAGCTCCCACGTCGACACACCACGGGGGTGGTCGCACCTTCGCTGAGGGCTTTAGCCACGTCGCGTGCGCAGCCTGGCCCCAATCTCCAGCGTCGTGACCACCGCCACCGCCACAGCTTGTGGGCGGTGAGGGCTCCGTGCGAGGTTCCGTTGATTCGTATCTTCGTGGCTTCATGGTCGTCGCCTTAGTTTGGCAGGCTGCTGTCGATTGCCTCTTCAGCTTTGGCCATTTCAGTTGCCAATGTTTAAAGAGGCACCACAGTGGTCTCATTTCACGGTATTTGGTTGATCGGTTTGAAGATGAGCCCCAATCAGCGTCGAGGTGGCCTTATGGTTCGCGGGTCAGACACGTTGAACCAGCACCGGTTAAGGATCTTGGATTCGACTCTCAGGCTGGTCACCGATGACGCCACCAAAAAAATCCCATCGCATTAAATTTGGTTCTGCGCTTAACTTGTTTAAATTCCATCTCTGACAGTTAAAATATCGGGTTCAAGGTCACGCGACGCGGTGGTTTAGTGCAGCCCTCTAATATGCAAGGACCAGACGCCATTTGGAGGGACCTCAGAGGTAGCTCTGGGATATCTACTTCCGTGGGCCATTCTTTAACACGCCGCAGCACAATTGGAATAAAACTGGGAGAAAAAATACAAAATGCGTACAATTAAATGGAGAACAAATGAGCGTCAGTTTTATTTAAAACGAGCTGCGTTACCGCGCCGTGCGTCTGTGTGCCGGCCAGCGGGAGCCATCAGCAGAGGCCGCACGAGAGAAAACGGCGCTCCGAACTAAAGCTGAACAATGCGAGCTGCTCGTTGTCGAGGTTAGAGCGTGGGGAGGTCCCCCTTCTCGCCCCTTCTCCCACCGCGGCTTCCGTGCCTCCCTCCCTCCCCCACGACGTTAGCGACCGGCCGCCACTTCGCACGGGTGCAGCGCCGTCCCCCCGGCCCTGCTCGCGCCGTGCAAGCGAGCAGGCCGTGGTCAGTCCACCACCGCGGGGCGCCTTGGCCGCAGCGAACGAGCGCCCCGTGGTTAGTCCACCACCGCAGGGCGCCTTGGCTCCAGCGAGTGAGCGGGCCGCGGTGAGTCCACCACTGCGGGGCGCCTTGGCCACAGCGAGCGAACGGGCTGCGGTGCTAACGAGAGAGAGGATCGACTTTAACGAAAGAGCTTCGGGGTGGCGTTTGTCACTTATAATTTTTCTGACGAGGCTCACATCTGCCGGATAAAATACCGCCGAGAGCGGAGCCCCCCTTGCCCAGACGTCACGCGGGGGGCACAGAACGCGGTTTGCGAGTGCGACTCGCCGCCGTGCGCGTTGCGCTGTGTACGCCGCGCGGCTGCGGCTGCGGCTCTCCGCGCTTGACGCCGCTTCGTCGCCGCCACGTGAAGTGACGATGGAAACTTTCTTACGGGAAACAAAAATTCTAGATTTTCCCGTCCCGATAATGCTCGATATTTCCAGTGGAACATTTACACGAAGTCTCTTTGATATTACGTGTGGCAGAGGCGGCCCGGTTGGCCCAGAGGTCAGTCAGCAAAGGGCGCTGCTGCTGCTGGTGCTGCTGGTGCTGCGTGAGGCTTTACCTAATGGAGCCGTGACGACGACACCCTTGGCCCAGTTTGTTTGGGGTCCCCTCACGGGGTCCTTCCCTCCCCACCACCGTGACACGCACACCACGCGCAGCGGCAAACGCGGTACAGTACACATGGCAGTAATACGGTACAGTATTAACCAGGGCGGCTGCTGGGCTCAAACCGCAGATCTCCCGCAACAAGTGGCAAACGCGCTCCTGCACTCGCGGCACGGACGTCCGTGCCGGCTGGACGTGTCCGGCACACTCCCACCCAGGGGTCTCTCCCGCACGCGGCTGGCGCCGCGGTAACGATGTGCCTCGCAGCAACGCCGTCTCGGTTCCATTACTGACTCGGGCGCCTCTCCGCGTGGAGTTTGTGTGCTCTACCCCCATTGCGTATGGGCTTCCTCCGGGATTCTCCGATTCATTCTCACGTCTGGAAACAAACCATGCCATGGAGATCGGTGTTGGACTTGGCCAAACACTGATAAATGACTTGGGATTACACGAGCAACGCGGTACTGCGAAAACTTGGCAAGACCCTCCTGAAAACGAGCTTTGAGACTCGGCGAGGCTTTCCCGTGTGAACAATCCGAGTTAGTAGTCGTGAAAGGAGCGGAGTAGTTCAACGATCGTAGCAGTAACAGTAACGACACAAGCGGAGCAGAGTGATGAGCACAGAGAGAGGCCCTCCGGCAGAGGTCGCTGTCGCTCTGCTCGTCGCCTCGTGCCGGACGAGCACCGCCGGCGTCCGCCACCGCTGCTACGGTGGCGGCGGTGGCTGGGGGGCGGTTAGGGGCGGTTGGGTGGCGGTTGGGGGCGGCTGGGGGCTGGGGGTTGGGGGGCGGCTGGGGGGCGGCTGGGGGGCGGTTGGGGTCGGCTGGGTGGCGGTTGGGGGGCGGTTGGGGTCGGCTGGGGGGCGGCTGGGGGCGG